AGAAGGCTTTGATCTGACTGCTCCCTGACCCTCAGATACAGGTGGGGAAATACAGCAATTGTAACTAATTGAGTTCTTCTGTATAAAAAGACAGAACTGAAATAAATCGAGGCGGCTGCAGTATTTACTGTGAGCCCTCCCAAGAAGCATCTTTTCTGTCTCCTTTCCTTTCAATCCTCATTCCCCCTTTCAGGTACTGTCTGTTTTGGCCGGCTGGCACCGGCAAATGAGACTTAAGAACCCTCTAGGAGACCCTCTTTCTCCCCGTTTCACTGATAGCTGAGATAGGGAACTCACCAGCTTCTACTCCTAAGATGTTCAGGGGAAAGGGCTGACTTCTATAACTTTTTAGGTCAAAACAGATAAATTTAAACTCTATACATTCTTTATCAGAGGTTAAGTAAAACCCAGCTTTTGTATCTCCTCCTCTAAAAATTTTTTATTAGTTTATTTACTTTTTTTATTTAGCGTGTGCATGTAAGTCAGAGGATAAGTTGTGGGAGTCAGATCTCTCTCCCATGAGTGACCTGGGGGTTGGACTAAGGCGGACAGGCTTGGTGGCATTTGCCTACTTTATGAATCCTCTCATTAACCCTGTACCTGTCTTTAAACTTTACACTGGATAAAAGCATTTCTGATCTAGCCGGGCATGGTGGCACATACCTTTAATCCCAGCACTCAGGAGGCAGAGGCAGGCAGATCTCTGTGAGTTTGAGGCCAGCCTGGTCTCCATAGTGAACCCAGGACAGCTGGGGCTACAGGGAGACCCTGTCTCAAAAAGACCAAAAAAAAAAAAAAGCATTTCTGATATAAGAGTCTCCAGGGAAGTGTGCTTGTTAGTTTTTATTGTCAACTTAACACAACCTAGATTAACATGCTGTGGGGCTAGGCTGTATAAGAAATCAAAGAGAGGGGCTGGAGAGATGGCTCAGTGGTTAAGAGCACTGGCTGCTTTTGCAGAGGACCTGGGTTCAATTCCCAGCACCCACAACCATCCATAACTCCAATTCCAGGGGATCAAAGGCCCTCTTCTGACCTCTACGGACATTGTGTGACAGGTATGCACTTACATATCTGCAGGTAAAATGCTCATACACATAAAATAAAAATAATATTTTTTAAAAAGAAATCAAGGAGAGAGGGAGAGAGGGAGAGAAGGAGGAAAGAGAAAGGGAGGCAGAGGGAGGGAGAGAGAGAGAAAAAGAGAGAGGATCCCACTAAGCAGTGTTCCTCTACGGTCTCTGCTTCAGTTCCTACCTCCAGGTTCCTGCCTTGAGTTCCTGCCCTGGCTTTCCTCAGTGATGGACTGTTACCTAGAAATGTAAGCTGAAATAAACTTTCCTCCTCAAGTTGCTTTTGGTGGGAGTGTTTTTATCACAGCAATCAGCAGCAAACTAAAACAGTTTACCTAGAGGGAAAAGTAGCCACCTGAGTACTGGTGATGACCAAATGCTGGATAAATGGCTATATGGGACAGGCCTGTGTTGCCAAGGTAAGAGATAGGCTAATGCTGCCAGATTTGGGAAGGGAACTATATCCTAGATTGACACTGGGTCAGTAGATGATGCCTGAGCCAAGAATCTATACTTCTTTTAATCTCTTTTTCTTTTAGATACACAGCAAGCATCGAAAATAGAACTTTAGGGTTAACAAAAATAAGAGGCCAGTAACAGTGCAGAGTTGGAGAATCAGCCGAGAAAATGTGCAGCCACCATTATTTGATTTAGGGAAGGTGAGTGGAGACTTAGTGGAGGCTACAACTGTCATGCTTCAAACAGAAAGGACTGTCCCATAAGCCAGAATTTAAGGGAGGCATTCAGGGTTAAGAAACAGGTGGGCAAACAGCACAGAGCTCTTAGGCTTCCACAAACTTTAGGAAAGTTTCATCCTTGCATAATAAGAGCTGCCTCTCACCCCAGACCTCTGGGGCACGTTTTGTTGTTACTGTGCCCCCTAGATTGCTTGTCCCAGGCACAATTTAGGTAATATCATCCATCCCCCAAGCAGAGAGGATAGTATGGAGTCTGCTGGTTGTCCCCCACCTGTCCCAAGGTGCTGAGGAGACATGTGATACCCATGAGAGTGTTCTCACAAATATTAGATGACTAAAACATAGCAGCATCTGGTGTGAAGGGATGTGAAGTGCCATACTGTCTTAAACCCTGACAAGTATGTGTCTGATATGGGATTGCCAGTGACCTTAAGAGTTTGTTTAGAAATTGCCCTCTGCTAGGACGTGCTGGAGAAATGGTTCAGTGGTTAAAAGCACTGGTTGGTATTGCAGAGAGAGGACCCGCGTTTGATTCCCAGCACCCACAGGGTGGCTAACAATTGTCTGTTAACTCCAGTTCCAGGTGATCCTACATCATCTTCTGGTGCACCCACCTACACGTGGGCATTACACTCATACACATAAAATAATTTTTTTTTTTTTAAAGGGGCTGGAGAGATGACCCAGCGGTTAAGAACAGACTGTTCTTGCATAAGACCCGAGTTCGAATCCCAGCACCCACATGGCAGCTAACTCCGGTTCCAGGGGATCCGACAGTCTCTTGTGTCCTCTGCGGGCATTGCACGACATGGGTGCACATACCTACACGCAGGCAATACACGCTTACACATAAAATAAAAATAAAATATTTTTTTTAATTAAAAAAAAAGAAATTGCCCTCTGCTAGGCGAGGCTGAGCGACTTGGATTCGCCCTGTCCTACCTGGGGCTTGTGCAGCAAGAGTCTAGGTCGCCTGATTCTAGTCACCTGATCTTTCACACCACAGCCAATCTCATTCATGATTAACCTCTAGCAGTCTCCGTTTCAAGGCCCCAGCTCTCCAGGGCGCACCTGTCTCTTCGCCGCACACCTCGTGTGTCCTTCCCTCACTTTCGCCAGCGCCCACTAATCCTGCCGGGTAGACTAGTATGTCACGTCCTTCTCGTACTCAAGGCTCCTCCCCCGCCTATGCCCACGCGAGGCACCGACTGGTTCGCTCGGGATGGCCGGCATCACTCAGGAATGAACTTCCATGTGACGGGGACTCTCCCACCGAGCGAGCTCCACCCTCCCCAGGTGGGACCCCAGGTCCGCAGACCCTGAACAAACCCGCCCAATTCTACCAGTCGGTCCGCCCACCGCGGCCGAGCGCCCACCCCACACCCCCGCCCGGGACCACGCAACATCGCCCTAGCGCCTCTCCGGGAGGCGCCGCGCGGACTGCGCCACCTGCGATTGGCCAAACGCGCCATAGCGCCATCTCGGCCTACCGCGCGGTGCGCGCCCTCATTGGCCCGGAGCGGCGTGGGAGGCGGGGCCAGAGCGATGCGCGTCGGACTCTGGAGCCACGCCCCCTGGTCCTTTCCCTGCCCAGAGCCCGCTTGGGCCCGTGGGGCGCTGGGGCCCGGCTGTGAGCGGCGCATGCGGCGGTTGCTCTGGTTACTGACCGGGAGGGATGCTGGGCAGCAGGCGGTCGGCAGTCCTCGCCGCGCTCTGACGGAAGCCTTCGGAGACAGCCATTCACCCTGGAGGACGGCAAGAGAGTCGGTCAGGATCCGGGCCGCGACCCCAGGGCTTGCTGAGCGGTCTCCAGGGAGGGTCGGCTCCAGGAATCCGAGGCTATCTTTTGGTTGGACAGGGCTGCCGGGGCAGGGTCGCCGTTGGGGAGTCGGGTCGCTCTGCGCTTGCCCCAGCCCTCCGATCGCCGTCGCTAGGGCCGGCTGGGCCCCCATCTCCATCTGACCGGGCATATGCAGCTGGTGACAAAGGAAAATTTATAGCCGACCCAGTCGACATCAACATAGCATCACCTGCATCCCTCACCCAACAGAGAGCCTGTCGGTGGCCGGAACGAAGAAGGGTCTGACCTGGAGCTGCTGGAGCAGACGGGTTTTAAATGCTGCTTGCGAAGTCTTGTGCTACTTGATCGAGATCCGTTCATTTTCACTTTCAGTGACTTCACGACTGATCTCTGACTTTAGTCCTGGGACTGTTGATAGGAGTTCGGCGGGTTCACCGGGCTCCTTGAAGGACCACTTTTGTGGGGGAGAGCCTCGTAAGCACCAAAACCCTCCTGGGGAGGGGGAAGAAAATCTCAGTCCTGCCTGGTGCCACCAAAGAAGTTTTTGAGCCATGTGGACTTTTCTTGGCATTGCCACGTTCACCTATTTTTATAAGAAATGCGGGGACTTCATCACCCTGGCCAACAAGGAGCTCCTGCTGTGCGTGCTGGTGTTCCTGTCGCTGGGCCTGGTGCTCTCCTATCGCTGTCGCCACCGGAGCGCGGGCCCCCTGGGGCGCCAGCAGAGCGGCTCCCATTTTGCCGCCTTCTCGGATATTCTCTCGGCTTTGCCTCTAATTGGCTTCTTCTGGGCTAAGGGACCCCCTGAGTCAGAAAAGAAAGAGAAGCTGGAGTCCAAGAGGGTAGGCTGATTTCAGAGTGGGCAGACAAATGCAATCTTAGTTTAAAATTAAGATGGGGGGCTCTGAAGTTTAAGTTTAAAAGGCAAAGTGGCAACTTAGATACTCCAGTGTTCCCATTGCGTTGACTTTTGTTAAAGCTCTGGACTGTGCCATGGCCACATCCTTGATGTTAGGAAAGGTGGAAAACATTTGTTTCATGTAGTGTTGCTTGATCCTCAGAAGGGGATTGGCTATTGATTTAAGTAGGAAATGGTAGAATTTCATTTGGAGGACAGACTCGCTGTCGCTGATGAAAAAGGTTTTATTTAAATCCTTGGGTCAGGATTGCATTTGTACCTGAGAAGAATGAATGCGGCAGGTAAGTCTACTGTTTCTAAAAGTGACAGCTGAGTGGGGAAAGTGGCAGAACAGTTTGAAAAGCAGTAAAAATCTTGGGCAGAAAGCCCTCCTTCTGCCACGGAAGCAGTGAATAATCCAATGCAGTCAGGTCCGAAGTCAAGTCACAGCTGGATGGTGGTCCACAGTCAGAGGCTGGGTCTTTAATATTTATGATGTTATGATTCCTGCTAGGAAATAAAGAAGGTCATTGGTAAGAGGTAGCTAGTAAAGACCAGATCCTGTAGGGCTTGTTGACAATGGATATTTGGGCTTTCCCCAGGAGAACTGGAGTGACTTTAAGTATGGGAGTAACAATGCTTGATTTTACTTTAAAAATACATTGAGGTATGCAACAGTGAAAGCAGGGGGCATGGGTAAAAGGCTGGTTATATTGGAATGCCCAGCTGGTGTGGCTGGGAGTAGCTGGATGTTAGGGTGTGTTACCCACACAACAACCCAGAGCCCTCCATCCACTTATCCATAGTCCAGGTTGGCAAGGGTTCTAAAAGAGAGGGACTTGACTTTGAGATTTTGCTCTGCCACTGCTGGCCAGGAGACTTTGCAAATTGCTTTCTATATGTAAGAATCAGTTTTCTGGTCTGTTAGAGGAGGCTGGCATTACCATTGCTGGTAGTCAGGGGACGAAATGACTTCATGTTTGCCAAACTCCAGTGCCTTAATCTAATAACCAGCTGTTGCTCTATCCACAGGTAGTCCAGTTTAGAAGCCTCTTAGTAGTGCCCACCTTTCAGTGGCCTGGAGATGGTGGGTTAGAGTACTGGAAAAAGAGGCCTCAGTTCTCACTTGGAAAACTAGGTATTTGTATTTTAGGTAACTTCCTTTAGGGCCAAGTTGTAGTCCAGGTAGCTGTAATTCTGTGATGTCATGCTGTGACATGGGAATTTTGGGCCTGAAAACAGTGAACACGGGGTCCATTGGTGAATGCTTAGTCTTCTTAGAAACTAGGAAGTTGCTAGAGCGATTGATGCTAAATGGTGATAACATGAGAAGTCAGAAGTTATAAGAGATCTTCATCTGGTAGATGCTCAGTAATGTACTTGAAGAGCTGAGCAGTTAAATGGTAGAATTTGCCCTATGATATGGCTTTGAATCTCATATTAGGCATTTATAGTACCTGGCCTGATGTCAGTTTCTAAATATGGTCATGTAACTGCATTTTCTAATGACCATGCCTGGGGAAAGGAATACATATTTAATGTTATTGGGATAATACACATGTTCATTTAGCCAGTATTTTGATATCATTTGATTTTTTTTTTTTTTTTTTACATATGGTCTAAATTTAAAAATACATCATTTTACTTGGTTTGACAATGTTTGGGGTCTAGCTCTCGCCCAAGGTGCAGAAGTCCATTTAATTTAGTTAGTATGATTTAAGTTGACATTTAGAAACATAATTTCCTTTTTTGTTAAATAGTGCAGAAAAGGAATCAATATTTCAGAAACAACATTAACAGGAGCAGCTACCTCTACATCAACATCTTCTCTAAATGATCCAGAAATTATCATCGTGGGATCTGGTGTACTTGGCTCTGCTTTGGCAACGGTGCTTTCCAGAGATGGAAGAAAGGTAACAGTAATTGAGAGAGATTTAAAAGAGCCTGACAGGATAGTCGGAGAACTTCTGCAGCCTGGGGGTTACCATGTTCTTAAAGAACTTGGCCTTGAAGGTAGGTCCATCCTCATTTTCGGGAGTGTTACCTGATGCAAGTACTCCTCACCGTAGTGACTAGTAAAATGGCTTCCAATTTGCTTCCTTTTTCCATTTACAAAATTTAATATGCATTTACTAAAAAATGTGTGTAATGAGAGCAAAGGAGAAAATAAAGATTGAGTAGTGTCAGGAGATAGAACTTAGTGAGATCATGAAGTGTCCAAAAAACATAATGTTCAGAAATTAAAGGTCAGAAAGCTCCTGGAATAAAAGCATGAAATTTAGTAAAAGAGCCATCAGGTATGCAGTTTATGTTGTATTCCTAGTATGACTTATGACTTTAAATCTTTTATCTAAGGACCATTCAGCCACTCAGCCAATGCTTTTAGTACCTCATATTTATTAGGAAATGGTTGAACAAGGTGCTATACTAAGTACCTATTTATTCTCGAGGAGTAGAACACAAAATCTACTCAGGCTGTGAGGTGAGAAGCAGCCTGCTTGGTGGGGTGTGGTGGGAAGGATGGTATATTAGCTAAAAGCTTTGGTTCTAGAACTAGACTGCCTGGGTTTGAATATCAGCTCTGCCTTTTAAGTACTGTATGGCCTTGCCTAATAACTAACTTTAAACCTAATAAGTTACTCTTCTGTTGATTATTAGTTCATTTGTTAAAAAAAAAAAAAAAAAAAGAAAAAGAAAAAAAGGCCAGTTGTAGTTGTGCATGCCCTTAATCCCAGGACTCTGGAGGCAGAGGCAGGTGGATCTCTGTGAGTTCTGAGTTCAGTCTGGTCCACATAGTGAGTTCTAGGCCAGCCAAGGCTACATACTGAGACGCTTTGTAAACCCCTCCCCCCAAAACAGTCAATGCTTCCTATATTAGGAGGATTAAGTGAATTCAAATATAAGAGCATTCAGAACAGTGCCTGGCATATTGTAGGCCTTGTGTTCATGGTCACTGTTTTGTTTAAAGAACTAAGAAGGAGACCAGTAGGGCTAGAAAGTAGTGGATGATGAGGAAAGAAGATGGATGCCATTAAGGTTGGAGAGGGAGACAGGTGCCATATCATATAGTGCTTCATAGGTGATGGAGCAGGAGTGTGACATGATCTCATTTCCCATCTAATAGGTTGGCTTTGAATCTTCAACAGCTACTTGCTTTACATAACTTAATGTAACATATTTTACATCAGGATTCAGTTTATCCATATATATTTCAATCTGAATGATACCTTTTCCAAACTTTTTTGTGTATGGTATTAGGGATCAAATCCAGGACCTAGCACATGCTAAACACGTGTTCTACCACTGAAATTTCTTCTGTTTTGCTTTTTAAATGCTTTGCATCATTCCACCAATAATGCAATTCAGAATTCATTTCATAGTCCATTGGGTCACCCACTGCCATTTATCTGGATTGCTATTTTTAAAAAATTCTAGTGGGCATGGTGGCGCACGCCTTCAATCCCAGCCCTCGGGAGGCAGAGGCAGGCGGATCTCTGTGAGTTCAAGGCCAGCCTGGTCTACATAGTGAGTTCCAGGACAGCTGGGGCTACAGGGAGACCCTGTCTCAAAAAGACCAAAAAAAAAAAAAAGAAATACATGGGGACTGGAGAGATGGCTCAGTGGTTAAGAGCACTGACTGGTCTTTCAGAGTTCAGTTCCTAGCACCCACATGGCGACTAAACAACTGTTTGTAACTCCAGTTCCAGGGGATCCAATGCCCTCTTTTGACCTCTGCAGGCATTGCACAACATGGGTGCGCTAGACTGTAGGATTGTGATGATGGGGTAATAAGGGTCAAGCCAGGAGTTTGGGGGAACTCATTGTTCAGTTCCAGTTACAGATGGCATTGGTTCTGACATGGTAGCTGGTAACAGATTATAAAGAGAAATGGGCAGATGATAAGACACAGAAATGATATCCTAAGTAATTGGTGTGAGATATGAGGAACAGGATACTATCAAAAAGGGATTCTTAGGGTTTTGCTTTACATAGCTGGTAGTTGGTGGTACCTTTTGCTAATGAGAAAGAAAACTTGAAAAGGAGGAGATTTGAGGGACTTATTGGGATACCCAAGGAGAAATATCAAATTGAATATATTCATCTAGAGGCACTGGCAGGGTTGTGTGTTTCAGAGTTGTAAGTGTACTTGTGGTAGTTGAAAGCCATGGCGATGACTGAGGCCATCTAAGGAGAGTGTAGGGAGAAAGGCATTAAGAATGAATTAAGTCCCAGGAGACTTATGCATGCAAAAGAGGCTGAGTGGGAGGTGGCAGTGGTAGAGGACGTCTGTATTGTTTGATATCACTTGATCAAACAAAGGAAAATGGTTCTGGTAGGAAAGAGTAAATATCAGGAAAGAAGAACAGCTGTGTCATATTTGCTGGCAATATGTTAGGGAATATAAGTGTAGGAAGCTCACAGCAGATTTGGTAATTTGTGATGTCGACAGGAAAATTTACACTGAAATGAGATGGAGATTTAAAAACTTGAGACTTGGAAGGGATTTTTTTTTTTTTTTTTTTTTCCTGGTAGAAAACAAAGATAGGATTGTAATTAGATAAGGATATGAAGGTGTATTTGGATACAAGACTATTTTTATGGCAAAGTAGAGAGGTTGAAAAGCTGATGGTATGAGAGAGAAGGTGACTGAGAGTGACATTCATTCAAATTAAAAAATTAAAAAAAAATTTTTATTATTTTTATTTTATGTGTATGAGTGTATTGCCTGTGTGTGTGTGTGTGTAAGTGCACCCATGTCATGCTATGCCCTTGGAGGTTGGAAGAGGGTGTTAGATCCCCTGGAACTGGAGTTATACGGTTGTTAGCCGACATGTGGGTGCTGAGAATCGAACCCAGGTCCTCTGCGAGAGCAGCTCTTAACCACTAAACCATCTCTCTAGCCCTCAACAGATATTTTGAAACATTAACTAATAGGAGATTTGGTTCTACTTGCTGAGAATACATCTTAGTGGATAGTAGGGAGGGAATGATAAAAGACTAATACAATTTAAAATAGAGCATGTGAAGATTTATGTGTACTAGACAAAAATCAGAAAGAGTGGGATCTGGAAGTTATTGCACAATCAGTCAGAACTGATGGCTTAGAACAGGGTTATAATAGAGGTGTGTGAATTGACACATGGGGGAAATACATTTTGCAGGAAGAGTCAGTAGAACCTGCTAATGAATCAGATGTTAGGTATGGAAAGGGACAAGCCATAGCACTAAAGTGAGACTCGATGCTACCAGGAAGTCCAGAACTGAACTCCGGAACATTATTGTGTAGAGATCCATGAGGTGAGTGGGAACTGAAGCAGGAGATGAAAAGGAGCAGTGAGAAGCAAAAAGATTCCAGGATCTTCAAGCATGAGGAGGAGAGTGCGTTACAATGAAGGGAGGTTCCAGTCTGTCCTTTCAGGTTCCCTAACCTTGCACTTAAAGAGATGTGACACCATCCAGAGGCATGGTTTGTTCCCTTATATTTGCATGTCAGCCAATCAGAAGAGATTCTAAACTAATGACTAGACTGTCTTTTATGGATCTAGCCTCAGGAGATACTTTCCTAGTTGCTGCTACAGGTCCCAGTAGATTCTTAAATGCAAGATGAGGCCAGCCTCCCAAATATTTTAACCAGTGTACCTTACTATCACTAATAAGAGTCCTTTAACGTTAACTATGTTATTAACTTCCCCGGAGGTCTCATGAGATGTATGGTAGAAATAACTTGAAATAGTTACTTTGGAGATAAAGGATTTCTTTCTTTCTTTCTTTCTTTTTTTTTTTTTTTAAATTTTTTTGAGACAGGGTCTCCCCGTAGCCTCAGATGTCCTGGAACTCACTATGTAGACCAGGCTGGCCTTGAACTCACAGAGATCTGCCTGCCTTTGCCTCCTGAGTGCTGGGATTAAAGGCATGCACCACCACGACTGGCGGATTTCTTTTTTTAAAAAAATATTATTTTTATTTTATGTGTATGAGTGTATTGCCTGCATGTAGGTAAGTGTACCCATGTCATGCAATGCCCGCGAGGACAGAAGAGGCTGTCAGATTCCCTGGAACTGGAGTTACGGACAGTTGTTAGCCACCATGTGGGTGCTGGAATTTGAACCTGGGTCTTCTGCAAGAACAACCAGTGTTCTTAATCTCTGAGCCATCTCTCTAGCCCAGATAAAGGATTTCTAATATGATGTGAACTGGTCTATCCTGGAGAGTGGACTTTTAATTAGTGAGCTGATTGCCTTGTGGCTTGTACTTAATATCCCTAACTCCTATAGCTAGTACATTATAATTTAAATTCTATCTATAACATTTCTTAATATTTTAGTATCCTCTGCCTTTGACTTTATTTTCTTTAGGGTTACCTTGGCTTTTGCTAGACCCTGATATAATATTGTCTTTTGTTGTTCAGTGTTGACTTCAGCTGGGGCTTCAGAACTTGGCATGAGGTCAGGACACAGTTCCATTTGGGTTTCTTATGTGTGATTCCACCTGGAACTGATGGTGGATGGCTTACTTCCATGCCATATCATGGGACAATATGTGTTTAGTCCTAAGTCTAACATCCTTAACACATTGGGGGCCCTGTCTTCTGCCCAGAAGTGACTGTTAAAACCCCAGCTCTTTAGGCTTCTGGTTCTGATATCCTAATGCTGTAGACTGTAAACTTGCTTGGTGGTTTGACCTTGAAATTGCTCTTCATTTTTACCATGGGAGTTTGTTTGGGTTTTTGTTTGGTTTCATATTTTTAGTTGACTTTGCACGAAAACTAATTCCATGTTTTTAACTATGGAAGGTATGTTTATGTTTTGTCTACTGACTGGTAGTTTAATTCCACAAGTATGAAACTTTATGATTAATGAATAGTGATATCTTTACTATCTAAGGCCTAAGTTGTATCATTGGCTTAAGTCAGTAAATATCTAATATTCATGAAGCTTGTTCATTAAGGTTGAGAATATTGTCTTCCTGTGCTTTTTTTCCCCCCTTTAATCCAAAAATGTGTTTATTGGGATGGTTTCTCACTCATCTTGATCTTGATCCTAATCTTGATTCAGGATACTTTTAGTGCTACTTCTTCCTAAAGAAACATCCTTCTGTAAGCCATGCTTTTCCGCCTGTAGGCTGACAGAGGACAGTGGAGTAGCCAACAGTTACAAGACTACTGTTTGTGCATGGCTAAAGACTGGTGATTTTATAGCATCCTGGGCATTTCACATCCATGAAGTAGGAATTTGGGCTCGGCACCAGGCACTTCTTGTGTTTCCTCTTCTCTTCTGGAGAGGGATGAAGGAGATCCTTTTCGAGAGGCATGTTCTCGTAGGGAGGTTGTCACCGCCAGAAAGGGCATCTTCCTGTCTTTTAATAGTTGGTAGGCCTCAGACATTTGTTAGTAAAGGTTGTACTTTGTGCTGAGATCCAAACTGAATAGTGTTAATTGGCAGCTTTAGGTTAATGCTCTACTTATTCCTGACTGGGTTTTAGCCACAATAATTAAGAAATTATTTAAGGACTGATTGTGATGACATATGCCTTTAATCCCAGCATTTGGATGGCAGAGGCAGGCAAAGCTCTTTGAGTTTTAGGCCAGCTGGGGCTACAGGGAGACCCAGTCTCAAAACAAACAAAACAAAACAAAAACCAAACAAAAAAAATGAGTGTATTGCCTGCATGTAGGTAAGTGCACCCGTGTTGTGCAATGCCTGCAGAGGTCAGAAGAGGTTCTTGGATCCCCTGGGACTGGAGTTATGGACAGTTGTTAGCTACCATGTGGGTGCTGAGATTTGAACCCGCATCTTCTGCAGCACCATCCAGTGCTGCTCTTAACCACTGAGCCATCTCTCCAGCCCCTCAATTTCTTTTCTTTTCTGCACTGAATCATGCATCTGTCCCCTGATGCTCATTAATTTAAAATTTCTCAAGTTTTCAGTTGGTACTTTAAAAATGTTACGCTTTTCATTGAAACTGTCTTTTCTGATTTCTTTTACTGTTTGAAACATGAAAAAACCAGGGCTGGAGAGATGGCTCAGTGGTTAAGAACACTGACTGTTCTTGCAGAAGACCTGGGTTTGAATCCCAGCACCCACATGGTAGCTAACAAATATCCTTAACTCCAGTCCCAGGGGATCTGAGAGCCTCTTCTGACCTCTGCGTGCATTGCACGACACGGGTGCACTTACCTACATGCAGGCAATACACACGTACACATAAAATTAAAAAAAAAAATCAAATTTTTAAAAAGTTTTAAAACATGAAAAAAACATATTTATATGGCTGATGAATGCTTTGCTTAGTTTTGCTGTTTGATTTATTAAAAATTACTCTGCAGTTGATCTTGAATCAATTTTGATATACAGTAGGAATCATCAATGTTTAGGAAATATCCTACTGTTTCCATTTGGTTTGGGAAATCTTTTTCATAACTTAAATCTTTATCAATATGACCTTTTTGAAAAGTTTCCATAATATTTTATTTTCTTTCTCCTCTCTTTTTCCTTCCTTCCCTCTGTTCCTCCTTGTGACACTTTTCTATATATAGCTAATTGGAAAAATTGTTAAGAAGGTTAGAATATGCTTCTCTATGGTTATGAACAGAACAGGTTTTATTCAGATTGTGTCGTACTGCTTTTCATGTTGCATTTTCTTCCTTGTCTCTGAGGTAAAGTGGTTACATACCTGAAATAATTATGCTACTGTCCTGAAATGGAATGATAGGTTTGAAAGACTTCACTGTCTTCTGCTAACATTTAATATTTTTGAAATAATTCTGTTAATTGTTCATTTCTCCTAATGATCTTAGAGATTTATGAAGCAGAGCCTTATTTCGATATGTCTGTGTTTCTTGGTACCTAGTATAACTCTGGGCATGTTAATGAAATTGTTTGATGAACTGAACTTTTTTTCAGATACAGTAGAAGGTTTTAATGCCTGTCTTATTCATGGCTACATAATTCATGATCATGAAAGCAAATCTGAAGTTCAGATTCCTTACCCGCTGTCAGAAAACAACCAAGTGCAGAGTGGAATTGCTTTCCATCATGGAAAATTCATCATGGGTCTCCGAAAAGCAGCTATGGCGGAGCCCAAGTAAGACCACAGCTTTAAATACATATGTTGGGGCTGAAGAGGTGGCTTACTGTTTAAGAGCATTTGCTACTTTTGCAGAGGACCCTGGTTTGGTTCCCACCATCCACACGGCAGCTCACAACCACCTGTAATTCCAGTTCCAGGGGATCTGACACTCCTCTTCTGGCCACTGCAGGCACTAGGCACAAGCTTGGTGTACATACATGCATACAGACAGACACTCAAAATAAAAATACATAAATCTTAAAAAAAATTGCTCTTGAGACAGGGTCTCCCTGTAGCTCCAGCTGGCCTAGAACTCACTTTGTAGACCAGGCTGACCTTGAACTCACAGAGATCTACCTGCATCTCTCTCCTGAATGCTGGGATTAAAGACATGCACCACCACATCTGGCCCATAAATCTTAAAATTAAAAAAAATATATATCATGTTAAAGAATCACAGCAGTTAAGAGCACTGATTGTTCTTGCAGACGAACTGGGTTAGATTCCCAGCATCCCCATGGTGACCAACAGCCATCTATAACTCCATTTCCAGGGGATCCAACGACCTCTTCTGACCTCCGAGGGCATTGCACAACTCGGGTGCACTTACATATATACAGACAGTGCACTCATACACATAAAATAAAAATAAATAAATGTTAAAAAAAGTACTTTTTAAATGATTAATTTGTAATATGTATTCACTGTTGTAAATTACAAACTAAAAACCATACATAATTCTACAGCTTGCCAGTGATGGTTTTGCTTTTCCCTGTTCTAGCCCTTTGTCTATGCACACCTGTCCACATCCACGTGTCCAGTTTATGTGCATGAACTTTAGGCAGCAAATAAGGACTGTACCATACCTAATGTCTATTGCTCATGTGCTCCTCTAGAAATCTATTTGTTTATTCTTTAGTGTGAAGTTTATAGAAGGTGTTGTGCTACAGTTACTGGAGGAAGATGACGCTGTGATGGGAGTTCAATATAAGGATAAAGAGACTGGAGATATCAAGGTGAGATTAGTAAATGTCATTTCTTCCTGAGAGATGTTTGTCCTTTTTACCTTACCTTTTAACATTTTATTATTGTTGTGTATATGTATGTGAGGGGTGTGTTTGTGTGCGTGCGTGCGTGTGCCACTGTTTGTGTGTGAAGGTCAGAGGACAATTTTGTAGAGTTGGTTCTCCTACCTTTATGTGGGTTCTAAAGATCAAACTTAGGTGGTCAGGCTTGGATCATTGGACAGCAAGCTCCTTTGCCCACTGAACTCTTTGCCAACCCTTTTCCTACCCTTTAAAAAAAGTAGACCCGTGCTATGGCATCTCAGATGACCACAGTCATAACACTGAGTGTACACAATTATCAGCCACCGTGACAGACATTTTTACATTTAACTTATGACCTATTTATTTATGAATGTGATTTTTCCTGCTCATAACTATTATTTGTTTGGCTGTCATTTGTATACTTAAGTGTTTATGCTAGTGAAAATATGTTATTACTGCCTATGTTCTCCAGTAAAGTGCCTGAGAAGTGTTCTGTTGTGGCTTTTTTGTGTTTCTCAAATAAATCTCCATTTAAAAATGTAAAAAAAAAATGGGACAGTAGGATGAATGAGAAGAGAAAGGAAGGAATGGAAGAGGGAGAGGTAAAGTGGGAAGCAAGTGAACAGCGCACAAAAAACTAAGTGGGAGGAAAACAAATTGAATAAGGTGAAATGGAAATTGGGTGTGGTGGCGTACATCTGCAAGCCCAGCGCGGAGGAGGCTGAGGCAGGAGGATTACAAGTCCAAAGACAGCCTGGGAGCGGGGAGAGGGAGAGGGAATCAGCCACCGTGACAGACATTTTTACATTTAACTTATGACCTATTTATTTATGAATGTGATTTTTCCTGCTCATAACTATTATTTGTTTGGCTGTCATTTGTATACCTAAGTGTTTATGCTAGTGAAAATATGTTATTACTGCCTATGTTCTCCAGTAAAGTGCCTGAGAAGTGTAAAAAAAAAAAAAGTAGACCCATCAGTATTATTTACCTAGTTGAATGCTCTGAAAGCACTGCAAGATGGGTTGCGAATTGAAGCACGCTGCTTTTGAGAGAATTTCAGAATACTATAGACTTTAAAAACAAAAGTCAGTGTACAGGTATTACAAATCTAAATGAGAAAGATGTATCACCAGAGAAGCAGAGGGTTTCTAAGCTAGGAGGAGGAGGAGAGGAGATTCAACAGTAGGATAAATGATTAGCATAAAATGAGCAATTTAAATAAAAAGACTTAAGTAGGGGGATCTTTTGAATGATTCAGCCTTATTTTAATTTTATTGTGGTAAAATACATATAATCCCACTTAGTAGTTTTTAAATGTGCTGCTCAATACATATTGTTCTAGGCAGAAGTAGGACAGCTTTGAAAGCAAGTAACAGTTAAAGACTTTATATAGTATATTCATGTTGCTATATGAAAGAGAAAAAGCCAAAGGGCACTTCTGGGTTGTTCCATATGTTCACTTCTTCCTAAACAGTACTCTAATAAAGGCCTGCCAGGTTTTCTATGCTCACAGTGTAGTAATATAAACACAGCCATTTATATAAAAATTCTACTCCAGCCACTGATGAAGCAGCATTGTGTGAAGTTAGATAATTCTAGAATGAATCTGAGTGGTCCTTATAGTTTGTAATGAGGTTCAGTCTTCTCTGGTCCATGCTTGCCTTATAGTTGTTTAGCCTCTTGTCCATCCAAGTGGAGAGTGCTGATAGCTTTGATGGTAGAACTACAAAGGGAGATGAACTCCAGGGACTCAGAGGAAGTGTCGCCAAAGATTGGTCATGCGTTCTCTTGGGCCCACATAATGCTTTGATGGTCTCTGTGAGGAGATAATATATTTAAATCTGTTCCTGTATACCTTTTAAAAAATGTTTGTATTTTTATTTTATGTGTATGAGTGTGTTGCCTACATGTATGTAAGTACACTCATGTCATGCAATGCCCGAAGAGATCAGAAGGCATTCGATTCCCCTAGAATTACAGAAGGTTGTTAGCTGCCATGTGGATGCTGGGACTTGAACCTGGGTCCTCTGCCAGAACAGCCAGTGCTCTTAACCACTGAGCCATCTCTCTAGCCCCACTGTATACCTTGTTTAAAAGAATGGACTTTTTCTGTGTATTTTTAACCATTTGACTGAGTGTTCTTCGTCTGTGTTGCAGGAGCTCCATGCCCCATTGACTATTGTTGCAGATGGCCTTTTCTCCAAGTTCAGGAAAAACCTGATCTCCAGTAAAGTTTCTGTTTCATCTCATTTTGTTGGCTTCCTTATGAAGGTACAGTAGGAGTGTAATGGTAGAAGACCATTCTTTCAAAAAGAACTTGAAATTTGAAAAACTATTAAAATATTTTATTTTATTTATTTTTTTAGAATGCACCACAGTTTAAAGCCAATTTTGCTGAACTTGTTTTAGTTAATCCAAGTCCAGTTCTCTTCTATCAGATTTCAGCTAATGAAACTCGGGTACTTGTTGATATTCGTGGAGAGATGCCAAGGAATTTAAGGGAATACATAGCTGAACAAATTTACCCACAAATACCTGGTAAGAAACAGGATTTTACTCTAATTGTAATCTATAGTCTAAATGCAGATCTCACAAAAGCCTCAATCCAGTTCTCCCCAAAGCTGTGTTAAAAAAAAAAGCCTAGAGGTGAACAGAACAGGTGAAAATATATCCAGTTAGCATGTAAGAAATGAAAGTAGGCTGGGGGTGTAGCTCAGTTTAGAGTACTTGCCTAGCACACACAAGGCCTTGGTTCCATTCCCAGAAGCACATAACTGAGGTGGCACACATCTGTAACCCCAGTACCCAGGAAGTGTAGGCAGGAGGATCAGAAGTTCAAAGTTATCTTCAGTTACATAGGTAGTTTGAGGTCACCTGGGGCTACATGAGACCATGTCTCAAACAAACAAAGCATCAAACTTGCTGTGAACCTGAGGATGACCTTAACTGCTGATCTCTCTGCCTGTACCTCCCAAGTGCTTGAATGACAGGTATGTACCACCATGCTTGGCATCCCAAGTGCTGGGATCACAGACACACACCACCATGTTTGACTTGTGTTTTGTAGTAATAGTAGCTGTTATTTGCCTGTCTACTATATAAAAAGTATTTTAGAGATAAAACTTATTTTAATCTGTGCAGTTGCCCCCTGAGGCTGGCAGCTGTCATGACTATTCCTATTTCATGGTTACTAAGTCTGTCCTGCTTGTACATGCCAGCTCAACATGCCTGCACTTGAGTGAGAGCTGAAGAGATCTTTGAGATCAGTTTTGTTTTGAGTTGAATTTAAAGGCTTTATGAGATTTTAGACACCTTTATTTAAAAAACATGCAAAAAATACTTTTTCATAAGTCCAAAATTGTTATGATGCTAGTTTCTGTGTGTGTGTGTGTGTGTGCTGCATGTGTGTAGGCTCAAAAATTATGTGGATGAGTGTATTGCCTGCATGTGTGTAAGTGCACCCATGTCCGTCCTGCAAAGCCCATGGAGGTCAGAAAGTGTCAGATTCCGTGGAACTGGAGTTACAGATGGTTGTTAGCTGCCATGTGGGTGTTGAGAATCGAACCCAGGTCCTCTGCAAGAGCAGTCAGTGCTCTTAACCACTCAGCCAACTCTTCAGCCCCAATTCTTTGAGAATTTTATACATATAATCATTTTGATCATACTCGCCCCCATTGTTCCCTCCAGCTCTTCCCAGCTCCTTCACCCCCTTCCAACTTCATGTTCTCTTTTAACATTTTTATTTATTTATTTTTTTATAACCCACCAAGTCCAGTTTGTGCTGACCATATACTTATGGGTGTGGGACCATCCCCTGGAGTGTGACTGACCTACTGCTGCCTTATTTTGTCAATGAGATGGGGTCTCTCATTGAACCTGGGGAGCACTGATTTGGCTAGGTTGGTTGGCCAGTAAGCTCCAGGGATCTGCCTGTCCTGCCCCCTTAGCGCTGTGATTACAGACACTTGGAGGTACACCCAGCTTTTATGTGGGTGCTGGAGACCTGAACCCAGGTCCTCATGCTTTCATGGGCAGCCACTTTACTGACAGCCATTTCCCCACCTCCAGGGTTTTATTTTTTAAAATGTGGAAAGATATAGGAAAGAAATTTACATTATTAAGAATTTTGACAAAGGGCTTGGAGATCCTGGTTTGATCTCCACCAAAAGGAAACAAAAACAAGAATAACAAAAAAAAAAAAAAAGGGAGGAGAAACTTGCTTATTGGTTAAATGATCAGAATGATCAGAAGCTGTCCTTGTAATAAGTATATTAAAAAAGTATTTCGAGCCAGGCGTAGTGGGGCATGCCTTTGATCCCAGCACTCAGGAGGCAGAGGCAGGTGGATCTCTGTGAGTTCAAGGCCAGCCTGGTCTACATAGTGAGTTCCAGGACAGCTGGGGCTACAGGGAGACCCTGTCTCTTAAAAGACCAAAAAAAAAAAATTTTTTTTTTGGTGGTTTTCAAGTTATTTATCAGGGTATTTGCTAATTGTTTACTCCGTTAATCCCCTTTTGAAACTTTTCAATAGGAAGATTAGTTATGCTTATTTAGGAAAAGGAAAAAGATTCTTGCTGACATTTTTATGGAAGTCATTTGTAGATCATGTTGACAGTGGTTAGGATACTGAGTCTACCCCTGTATAAACTGAATATTTTGGATGTGGGCATTCAGTTTCTCTCTTTTATACTGGAAACTGTGACAGTTCATTTTAATGAAAGTTATGAATTGTCTCAGAGGTAAGGTAATCTAGCCATTTCATTTTCTAGAGAAACTGAAACTCAGCTAGGTAGAGCTGGCTTGTCCCTCTAAGACTAATCCTACCCTCCTGCTATTTGTGAATAGGTACTGTATTTCTTGTGATATTAGAATATGTGGGAAAGCTAAATATTGGTAGTTGTTAGTTAGCATGTGGCTATTCCTGTCTCAGCTCCCATGAGTCTGCCTCATTTGTTCCTTTAATCTCTCTGTTCCATTCAGTTGTATGTGTTATTTACATCCCTTTTCTTTTAGATTCCTTAGTCATTCCTTAACATAGGTAGCTAGGTGCTTAATGAATACTTTTATGAATAAAGTAGGCGATTCTTGATTTATTACAGGGGATATACGTAACAACCATAACAGATAAACAAATAGGCATTGCTTATACTTGATGAAAAAATATACAATAATTTCAAATTGACTTGTCTTAAAACCATTTATTTGAGTGGATGGAATTTATTGCAGACCACCTGAAAGAATCATTCCTAGAAGCCTCTCAGAATTCTCGTTTGAGGTCCATGCCAGCGAGCTTTCTTCCTCCTTCACCAGTGAACAAACGAGGTATTTTTTTACCACACTTATTTTATGATGGCATCAATATTTCAAAAGACATTTGATTAAATTTGTAGCCTGGGAGTAACAGGTGAGATAGAGAATTTGGTTACTGTGGATTAACAAACTTATGTTCCTGGAAATAACGTGAGAGAGAGCAACGTTTACCTCGGATTAGTAACATCAAAGTTTTATGATATATTTAGTTATTTAATACTGACTTTGTATAAGATCCTGCCAATTGGGGCTGGAGAGATGGCTTAGTGGTCAAGAGCACTGGCTGTTCTTGCAGAGGACCTGGGTTTAGCTCCCAGCACCCACATGGTAGCTAACAACCCTCCATACCTCTAGTTCCAGGGGATCTGACACCCTCTTCTGACCTCTACAGGCATTGCATGACATGGGTGTACTTACATACATGCAGGCAGTATACTCTACACATAAAATAAAAATAAAATATTTTTTAGAAGATACTGCCAGTCATCGGGAATTCAACAGTTAAAGGTTAGTCCTTGACCCAGGAAAAAAAACCAATTTTCTAGTTAGGAATATGAAAATAAGTTTACAATGGCATTGATAACAGTTTGAATAAAACTTCATTCATGGTCTCAAAGAGTAGACACGGTATAAAGAAGTAGATGCGGCTGGGAGGGAAGGGAGGTTAGGTAGGACATTCCCAGATCTAAGGCTGCATTGGGTCTGGAAGATTAGTGGCAGTTCATTAGGTAGATGAACTGTCCATACTACTATGGCAGTAGTGGAATAATATCTGCAAAGCCTCCTCTGGGCCAGCTGAGAAATGATGGCATTTTCATGGAACTCAAGTAGATTCCTGTAACTGGCTCTTATAGCAGGTCTCATAGTGATAGATAGATAGGATATAGTTTTTTATTTTACTTTTTAAAGATTTCCTTTAATTTTTATTTATGCATATATGTGTGTATGTCACAAGTGTGGGAGTGCCTTCTGAGACTAGAAGAGGATGTTAGGTCCTCTGGAGTAAGCCACCCAACATGGGTGCTAGAAACTGAATTTGTGTCTTCCAGAAGAGCAACCAGCGCTCTTCACAGATGAGCCATTTCTCCAGCAACCCACACCATTCCCCCGTTTGTTTTTGAGACAAGGTCTCCAGGAGCCTCAGCTGGAACTAGCTGAATGGTTGAGGATCACCCGGAGCTCCTGCTCCTCCTGCTGCTTCTTCCCTGGTACTAAGATCATAGGCATGCACCACTGTGTTTGGCAGGACATATGTTGAATATTTAGTTCTAATTCTATTAGACAATGGAACGTCACTGAAAAAATTTTTGGAGTTTTGCTTGCAGCCTTGTTGAGATATAGTTCACAGATTAATTCAGTTCACTCACCAAAAATGATATATTTTTTAGTATGTTCACAGGTGTGTGCAACCATCAAATTAGGACATTTTAATCACCTCATAAAAACCCAACTCCTAATAGCATCACTATCCATTTCCTTCCAACACCAGCTTTTGATTATAGCGGATTTACTTTTTGTCTCTAAATTTGCATATTTGGACTATTTCCCCGGTAAATTACATATGGCTCTTTGTTCTTCACCCAGCATAGTTCTTTTTGTTTGTTTTGTTGTTTTGTGTTTTAGGTTTGTCCATGTTATAGTGAGGATCAGCCCTTCATTTGTTCTTATGGCCAAGTAACACCCTGTTGTGCAAACACATTGGTTTTGTCTTCTCATCAGCTTCTAGGCATTGAGGCTCTTTCTAGGTTTTGGTTATTAGAAATCATACTTGCTGTTTGCTGACTATCTCAATGCCTCAGTACTATTTGTTGGAAAGACTGTTCAAACCCCTTTGAATAATCTTGTCACTTTTATAAAAAGTTCAAGTGACTAAATGAAATGGTTTCTTTCTTTGAACAATATTTGTTTTCAGGATATAAGTTTTGCATTTCTTTTGTTAAGTTTGTCCTCAAGTACTTTGCTATTTTGATGCTATTGTAAATGGAATTGTTTTCTTAATTTCATTTTAAGATTGTTGTTTAATAGTATTTAGGTCTTCAGTTGACTATTCATATTTATCTTGTGTCTTAAAACTTTTTTGGACTAATTTATCAGTTCCATAGTTTAATTTAGAAAGTTTTAAGGTCGTGGCATAATTAGATTTTATTTTAAAAACATTACTCTGACATCATAGAGGATGGTTTGGAGGCAAGTTCAGACTAAAAATATTAGTGGGGCCTTTTATCCCACTAGGGATAGAAGATGGAACTAGGTTTATAAAGTGGGAGGCAGGGGATGGATCTAGGCAGTATCCAGGATGTAGGATGCTGAAACTCAGTGATTTAGTGGATTTTTGTGGTAGGAGAGATTTCACGTTTCAGGCACAGGTAGTTTTGCAAGCCATTTGTTAACATAGCAATAGTAAGAATAGATAAGGGATTCAGGAAGTAAGTATCTTAGTTTCTTTTTCTGTTCCTGTGATAAAATACTCTGACAAAAACAACTAAGAGGAGAAATGGTTTACTTAGCTCACAGTTCGAGGTGGGGAAGTCACAGTGGTAGGAGCTTGAGGGACTTGGTCACATCACATCCATAATCAGAAGCAGAGAACCACAAATGAATGCTTGCTAATGCTCAGCTTGCTTTCTCCACTTACACAGACTAGGTAGGATCTGCTACCTAGGGAATGGTGTAGCTCACAGTGGGCAGATCAGCTCACCTCAGTGTAATCAAAATAATCCCCTAAAGACGTGCCCACAGGCCAACCTAATCTAGATAATATCTCATTAAGACTCCCTTCCCATTGATTCTAGATTGTGTCAAGTTGATAATTAAAACTAATCATCATAGGAAGTATGGAGGTGCTCAGTTGATTTCTGGAACATATTTGGTATAAAGTATCAGTAGGGCTTTTGAATGGGGACTTGAGGAGCACTACTGGAAACATGCAACCAGAGTTCTGAAGCGAGGTCTGAATGAGAGCCCTCAGTATACTCTGTTATATATGATTTTGAGAATATAGATCTAGTTTGTCTTCTGCTTAAACTACAGTGAGACTACATCGTCTTCCTAGGGCCTACTTTCTTTCTCTGCAAGTTAGTATCTATATAGACATGTCTTTATAGTCTATTGGCACTGAATATTGCTGTGAAATGCTAATGACATCTTGTTTTTTCTTGTACAAGATTTACTTTTTTTGAGACAGGGTCTTCCAGTAGCCCCAGCTGGCCTGGAACTTACTATGTAGACCTAGACCAGGCTTGCCTCAAACTCACTGAGATCCGCCTGCCTCTGCCTCCCGAGTGCTGGGATTAAAGGCATGCGGCACCACATCCGCAAGATTTAGTTTTTATGCTTAGATGCCCATACATGCTTTTAACATTTTTATATTTTATTTTGAAAAAGGCTTTATAAATCTATTGACATTGTTGGCATTAGATTTGCATGTGTGTTCCATTAAAGCAGAGGTCACACTCATGTTTACATCACATCCCAAATGCCTTGTATATACTGGGTCCTAGTGAATTTTGATTGAATGAACTCTTAAACTGTTGTTTCAAAAATTTAATCCTTATTCATTCCTTCAAAAGTTAACCTGAACTTTATTGTCTCTAAGCGTTCCAAGATTTCATAATCTTTCCTCTCTTCATAGGTGTTCTTCTCTTGGGAGATGCATATAATTTGAGGCATCCTCTTACTGGTGGAGGAATGACTGTTGCTTTAAAAGATGTAAAATTATGGAGGAACTTGTTAAAGAGTATTCCTGACCTTTATGATGATGCTGCTATTTCCCAGGTAAGAGATTAGATTATTCCTTTGACAAAAATGGCTCTGAATGCATTTCTTTCGAGGTACTAAGAACAGTGGGTCTCTTATGGGAAGTCTGTGCTCAGCAGCCAGTGCTTCGTTATGATTCTTAGTCCTGTTTAGGTTTAGTGAGTCTGAATTCCACACTATGAATCTTCAGTTTTTATGTGTGACTATTACTTAACACTGGATTCATGTGGGCCATTGTGCTAGGAGTATAAATTTAGCTTCAGAATCACAGAACCCATTGCTCTGAAAGTGAGTTTGGCAATATTACCTGCAGATAGTCCTTGGGATGTGTCAGTTTGAGGGGATTATAATATTAGTTTGCGTTTTTTCCCCTTAACTATATAGTAAGTAGTCTTTTTCATTTTTTAGGCCAAAAAATCGTTCTATTGGTCAAGAAAAAGGACTCATTCCTTTGTTGTGAATGTCTTGGCTCAGGCTCTTTATGAATTATTTTCTGCTACAGATGGTAAGTGTAGATCTTTTAAAATGATTGAATTGCATAATTTAGGTTTTCTTATGAAAGGAACTTAATTGCAAAAGTTGGTAATTAGTCTAGAAATCAAAATGTTCTCCAACACCCAATTTTGGTAGTTCCTTTTAGTGGCTAATCCTCATGGATCAGCACTTGATCTGGAGGCTGTTGACTTTCCTTAGGTAACATTAATAGCAGTCTTGGCAATGTGCTCATTAAATTCCTCTGGTCCAGATTAGGTCACGTGTCCTCTAATGGTACGATGCTGATGGGAGGTCTTTCTGGTCATGTATGGAAAAACAGTATGATCTTTTACTTCCTGAGCATGTTTGAATTTCTTTTTACGGTACGATTTATGAAATGAATGGGAATGTCAAACCAAGCCTAGTGTTTCCTTCCTGTAAAAATGCACAAGTAGGAGGGTGCATTCACATAGTACTCATTTGAAATATTGCTGTGCTTTTGTTTTGTTTGTACATTGTAGAGGTAATCGTCATTCTATCCATAGGTTAAGCATTCCTATTCATGAACATTTGAAACCCGAGCCAGGCATGGTGACACATGCCTCATGCCTACCGTGCTAGCCCTTGGGGAGGCTAAGGCAGGCAGATGGAGAGGCTAACCTGAGCCACATAATGAGATTATGTCTCACAAAACAACAAAAAACAGTGGACACTCTGAACTCCATACAGTGCGCACCTCCCAAACTCAAAATAATAAGTAAATTTTATTTTTTGAAAAATAAAACAAAGAAACAAAACAAAAATCTTGGTATTTGAATTTATTTAAACTTTTCCTGAGCTTCTGGTGATAATTACAAAAGGCGAGACAATAGAAATACTTTGCCTAGACTCTAGGCATTCACCACCTCCTGTAAAAAGAAGCAGCTCCTTGATTGTGATTTGCAAGCCAGTCTCTTGCTAAATTGGAATGGAAGTTAAAATGGCTAGAAAGGCAATAAGAAGAAAAGAATTGAGTTTTTCTAAGCTCTTGAATTCTTACATTGTAAAAGTGAACCTACCGCCATTACAAAATTAATGTGAGATTGGAGGAGGAAAGAACTTTATTGGAGTAAAAGTTTACCATATTGCATCCTTTAAAAAAATCTTGTAAAGAAAAATCTAGGTATATTGCAAAAGAACATTGATTCTAAACTGTTAAAAAAGTTATTAAAAGCCAGGCATGGTGGCACACACCTTTGATCCCACACTTGGGAGACAGAGGCAGGTGGATCTCTGTGAATTCAAGGCCAGCCTGTTCTACAATAGTGAGTCCCAGGCCAGCTGGAGCTACAGGGAGAACCTGTCTCAAAAAGACAAAAAAAAAAGTTATTATTACTGCTATATTTTAAAGGATTCAAAAATTACTTTGAAATTATTAAAAAGCTATGCAGAGGGACTGGAGAGATGACTCAGCGGTTAAGAGCACTGGCTGCTCTTGCAGAGGACCTAAGTTTGCTTCCTAGCACCCATGTGGTGGCTGACAACTGTCCATAACTCCAGTTCCAGGGAGTTCAATACCCTCTTCTCTGTGGGCACTGCACAACACAGGTGCCCTTACACACATGCAGGCAGTACACTCATACACATAAAATAAAAATAACAAAAATAAAAAGCTATGCAGAGCTGGGTATGGTGGCGCATGCCTTTTGATCCCAGTACTCTGAAGCAGGAGATCCTACCCCACCCCTGAAAAAAGCTATGCAGATTGATTTCCCTTTTTGTTGTTTTTTGTGACAAGATCTCCATATAGCCCCAGATGGCCTGAACTTTTATGTAGACCAGGCTGGACTCAATCTCAGAGATCCACCTGCCTTCATTTCTTTTCTTGATAATTTAATGCTTAGTTTGCAGTATGGGATGGGTATCTCGAGTCTGGGAATTTAATTGCTTTAATTGTGTTTTTATAACAGAGTTTACAAAGTACTTTGCATCATTTAGTGAATTTACAACAAAATCATAAGTGATTTAAAAATAACTCCATCTAAGACTCAAGTATTAGCAGTTACACCACCTGTGCTGTTGGTTTTGGAATTTAAAAGTCTTTTATTTGTTGAATTCTAGGACTATTTAAAATTTATGTCGTTTGGTATTTTTATATCTTCATTATTTTTTTCTGATAGATCATTAACACCCTAAGATACGTGTGTGAATATTTTGATTGTGAATAATTTTGGATTTTATTTTAGATTCCCTACATCAGCTTCGGAAAGCTTGCTTTTCTTACTTCAAACTTGGTGGAGAATGTATTACTGGTCCTGTTGGTCTGATTTCTATGTAAGTTGTTTTGCTAGAAGGAAAACATATTCAGTTAATGTAAATCTTCATTCTGTATACATTTAGTCATTCTGTTATCCATTAGTGTTCCTGTCAGGGGGAGCCCAAGAGCTGGCAAGATGGTTTAGTGGGTAAAAGCACTTGTTGTGCAAGCCTGGTGGCCTGAGTTTGATCCCCAGAACCCACATACATGTAAGAGAGACCTGATACTATAAAGTTGTCCTCTGACCTCCACACATGTACAGTGGCATCTACATGCCCCCTCATTATGCATGTGTATACACAAGCACATACACATTGATAGTTTTTTAAAAAGTGCCCCCAAGAAATGAACAAGAGGCAAAAGTTAGCGTTGTGCTTTCCTCCAGGATACAGACAGGGTTGTTCAGAAGTGGTGGACAAGGGAGGCTAAAACCTTTGGAGCTTGGTTTTCACCTGTGGTCCTTCTACATGTCTGGTCCACAGAAGCCATGAAAAGTTGAGAAATCCCAATTCAATTATTAATCTGACTGGCAGAAAACTCAAGTTTTGCTAGTGCAAACATATGTGGCACTATTCCTGGGAAGTAAGATTCAAGGTACTTCTCCCTGATCAGAATGTCAGTACTGATGCCAAACCCAGACTCTAGCAGGCCAGGCTGTCTACTGACATTGGATCTCAAGATCGGTGGAAAAAAAAACAGCTCAAAAATATGGCCGAGGGCCAGGCATGGTGGCACACACCTTTAATCCCAGCACTTGGGAGGCAGAGGCAGGTGGATCTCTGTGAGTTCAAGGCCAGCCTGGTCTACATGGAGAGTTCCAGGACAGCTGGGGCTACAGGGAACCTGTCTCAAAAAGACCAAAAAAAAAAGGAAAAAAAAAAAAATGGCTGAAGGGCTGGGTATGTTGACGCATGCCTTTAATCCCAGCACTTGGGAGACAGAGGCAGGCAGATCTTGACATTGACTTCTAGGCCAGCTGGGGTTACAGGGAGACCCTGTCTCAAAAAGACCAAAAAAAAAAAAAAAATGCTGAAGTGAGGGGCCAGTGGCTTTTCTGTCTGAAAGGGATTATTCTTAGTTGGCTTACTAACATATTTTCAAATTTTGTTCCTGCTATCAAAGGTAGCAGGTAGAGAAGCCTGTAAAGTTGTTAATTGGGGACTGTGTGTTAGGACCTCTGAATCATTTTCAATTTCCGGGTCTTACCAGTGTATCTCTCTTTTCTCTTACAGACTGTCTCCTCATCCTCTAGTTTTGATTCGACACTTCTTTGCTGTTGCAATCTATGCTATGTATTTTTGTTTTAAATCAGAACCATGGGTTACAAAACCCCGAGCCCTGTTCAGTAGTGGTGCTGTATTGTACAAAGCGTGTTCTGTAATATTTCCTCTCATTTATTTAGAAATGAAGTATCTGGTTCATTAGGTTAAAGGGGAACCACTTGGATGTCAGCAAGTCGCCAGAGATGTTTGAAGAGGATGTAGAGCATAGTACTGTACTATTCTAAGTGGAGAGTCACGGACCAAGCTTGGGGTTACTTTGTTTTTGAAGTTTTTTGTGTATAAGCATGTAAATATATGCCTTAATTTACAATATAAAATGAAGGGTAAAATAAGCTAGATATTTAAGAGATGTTTGTTACCACAAATTACGTGCTAACATTGAAGTTCTTTGATTTCAGTATTTGAGGTGATTCATTGGAATAAGAGAATAAAATGAAGCCTGAGTGCTCCTGGCTTGTTTCTCGCTACGGATTTCTTTACATAGCTTCATAGTCACAGAAAAGGGGATGGAAGATGTAGTCATTAGACCTATCCTGTTTATTAGTGTACATATGTACATGGTATGTATGCACACTTGCATGCGGAGGCCTGAGGTTGACATCATCATACTGAGGTAGGGTCTCCTGAACCTGGAGCGTGCATTCTGGTGAGGCAGCTAAGCATCTTGCTAGTTGTTTTCGTTGTTCTCTCCAGAGGGTACAGCTAGCTTCAAGTTCAGGCAGAAACTTCCCCCTTGTCATCCAGGCTGCCAAGTGTCCAGGATATCCCAGTAGGATGGCAGCTCCCCTTATAGGACTTTTCATGTAGAAGTATGGATTTTGAGAGATGTATATTTGCCAATCCTTTACCACCACCACCATACCCTTTGCTGTCCCCTAGAAAAAGGAAAAAGACAGTCTTATGGATAGCCACATGGTTGTCCAGCTTGAGGCAGAAGTAGGAAGGAAAAGGCTAGAAGGAACAAGGTATCTGGGACCAGAAACTGGCAAACATTTTAGCCACCAAAACGCATAGCACATAGGGCATGGATCAAGTTCGTTATTGGGCTGTCACCACATGCCTACAAAACCGAGTGGACAGGCCATCATCCCTCCCACAGCCACCTGTCACCTTCCAAGCAGGGTTTCTTACAGGGCAAATGACAGTTGTTTTTTTTTTTTTTTAATATTTAATTTACTATTTTTATTTTATGTGTATGAGTGTATTGCCTGCATATATGTAAGTGCACTCATGTCATGCAATTCCCAAGAGAGTCAGAAGAGGGCATCGGGTTCCCCTGGAACTGGAGTTAGGGACTCTGGTTAGCTGCCATGTAGGTGTAGGAACCAAATCCAGGTCCTGTGCAAGAACAGCCAGTGCTTTTTAACCGCTGAGCCATCTCTCCAGCTCCATGAATATAAGTTTTTGAATCACAAGCAGGACAGCTTTGAGTACTAGCAACACTATTTTACTGAAAATCTGGAGTCACACAAATAGCTCTTTAGAACATAAAACTAAACGGATTCATATATAGCAATTACATTCAGCATTTATTAGAGGCAGTACAAAAAAGTGTTCTTTTATGTGATATGAACTGCATATAATACCATGATTTAAACAATATTAATTATATTAAGTAGAGTTGTGAGGCATCTTCCTTAGAATGTCTGCCATTCTCACAATGGAGGGGGAAATACAGATACATAAGCCTTCAAGTTTCTTCATCTCCAAATTCATTTTAGTCACAGACTTAAGCAGGAAAAGTAAGTCACAGGACTGTTCTGAACTCATCAAAAATGAAATTGGGCACATGTGCTTCAACAACCTGAAATAGTAAGCAGAAGTTAAATTACTCATGGTATTATAGTTGAATAGATTCATAGCTTTCTACATATGAAAAGTCAAGAAGTGAAAATATCTGTTGGACAGGGTAAAAAGAGCCAGAATGAGCTGACTCACAGAGGGAAACTTGCAGAGCCACTTTCATTTCTGGTAAAGTCTGCCCTGGTGTTTCACTAACATTTGAGGGGAGACCTGCTGTTACCCAGCACAAGCTTTTTGGCTTTTTTTTTTTTTTTTTTTGGTCTTTTTGAAACAGGGTCTCCCTGTAGCCCAGCCTTCCTGGAACTTGCTATGTAGTAGACCAGGCTGGCCTTGAACTCACAGAGATCTGCCTAACTCCGCTTCCCCAGTGCTGGGATTAAAGTGGTGTATGCCCCCACACCTGGCTCTGCTTCTTGGCTTTTAAGGGCACTTTGATCTGAGAGGAGTACCTGTGCCTCTGGGGGGTGCAAGAGGTAATCTCAGGTCGCAACACTGATGACCAAGAATAGGTCTGGCAAATGACGTGGCTGCTGGGACTATGGAGCAATATCCCAGAGGAAAGGAAAGGAACAGGAAGGTTCCCAAAGGCATGCATTCTTCAGCTGTTTGGCAGAATCAAGGAGAAGGCTGGGATAGGCTGAGTGGGTAGAATACAGAATAGCTGATCTGTAAGTGCTTAATATTTTATGCTAAATAGAGGAAATTTAACAAATGTGGATGAGCCCTAATATTAATCTTGAGAAATTAAAATTAATGATTAAATTTAAATTCTAATTTATACATAACACACACTCAAAATTGAGATATAATTTCTCAAAAAAATTTTATGTGGATTGTCTGCATGTAAGTGCACCATGTTGTGCAATGCCCACAGAGGTCAGAGAGAGCATCAGATCCCTTGGAACTGGAGTTACAGGAGGTTGTTAGCCATCTTGTGGGTGCTGGGAATCGAACTGGGGTCCTCTCCAAGAGTAGTTAGTGCTCTTAACTGCTGAGCTATCTCTCTAGCTCCAACCACCTCAGTATTTCTTAAAATGCTTTCTTCTTTGAACCAAAACTTAGCAAGGTGGAATTATTAGCAAGGAAGACAAAGGAAAGAATTTCATAGAAGGTAAAAAGTTCTTCATTTAGGAAGCGGTGGTCATAAATAGCTTTGTCTGTGGCTGGGCTTAACTTGCTGTGGGCACCTGGTTGTTATGATTATTTCTTTCACTGACCAGTTAGGAATCCCCTCCTGGCTTGCCCATCTCACTGAATTGTCCCTGAAGAGGGTGGAGAGTGAGAAGACAGAAGCCTTCCACCATGTAGGGAAGGCAGAAAATGGGTACTATGAGGCATAGCAATGGAGGGGCCAAGAGGTATCTGCTGTGAATGACCAGGACTTCACTCCTGGTATTTCCAGATCCACCAGTCTTACCTGCTTACACACAGGTCATTAATAACATTCTTATCCATGGCTTACCCTCCGGGGGAGCTTTGTGTACCGAACATAATCCTCTAGGAACATAAGGGCACCCACAACATCTGCAGGCATTTCAGGTATCTTCTGGCTGCAATAGAACAGCCTGGATCAGTTAGCTGCTTTGCACATAACAGGCCCTCACTCAAAATACTGAAAGATGCTGAGCAAAAGATCACTAGTGAAGAACAAACCCAGAGGGCAGCCTCTTGATTCCTATCAGATCATTAGCCTGCTCTTATTTTTAGGAACCTACCCTGCAGGACAAACCTAACCTTGGGCTGATGAGATGGCTAAGTGGATAAGGACACTTGCTTGAAGCCTGATCCCTGGGAACCACGTAGAAGAGAACTGAGCCCTGCAAGTTGTCCTCTGACCTCCACATGCACGCCATGGCAGAGGCGTGCACACACACACACACATATATATAATGTAATTTGAAAAGCCCCTAACTGGACTGTGCCTATCTGGATTCTTTTCCCTTTGGTGTCCCTCAGGCTACACAACTCAATGCCTGGCAGGTCCTATGATCAGTCTTTCAGTGGTGTGTTTTGCAGACTTATTTAAAAATAAACTTCTACCTGGGCTTCGTACACAGGCCTGTAATCCCAGCTATTCAGGAGGCTGATGTAGGATAACTGCAAATTTAAGGCCCATCTTGGCTACAGCAAGAGTTCAAGGGCAGGCTGGGAAACTTAGTGAGTCAATGTCTCAAAGTAAAAAGTAAAGAGGGTTGGTAAGGTGGCTTAGTTTTAAAGTCCTTGTCTAATATATATGAAGTCCTGGGACAGCAAAAACAGTCTATGTTACATTGGTGAAAACAACCAAGTGGTGGTGGTTTTATATTAACTTTTTTTTGAGACAGAGTCTCTCTGTAGCCCCAGCTGGCCTGGAACTTGCTCTGTAGACCAGGCTGAACTCAGTCTAACAGAGATCTGCCTGCCTGTCTTCCCAGTGCTGGGACTAAAGGTGTATGCCACCATGCCTCTCTTACATTAACTTTTACATGTGTAACATAACAGAGAAATTCTTTACTTAGGCCAACCCCTTTAGGGTAGCAGTGAAAAGCTCAGGACCTAGCATCTTAGGGCCATATTTTTACCCCCTAACCTAGAAAAACCACAATTGGAGAGAAAGGGGAAATGAACTAGAAGGAACTGAAGGTTTGTGAGTTTTGTTAGCCAACAGCATCTTCTGTGACTCCTGTTTTGTTAACGCACCATGAACTCAACGTTGCCCTGGCCTTGAACACTGATGAGTCTGACCACCCTGGAGTATGTGAAGTCACGTCTTGGCAGTGGCCCAGAAGGACTGCAGGGCTTACTGAGCTCTGAGAGCTGGATCCAAGATGACAGTCTCACAGGACTGCACTTTCTTCCTCAGTGTCTACTAATCACAGTCAAGATTCTGTCTAGAAAATCCCTACTGGTAGAACTGTAGGAAATGCCCTGGCAGGGTGACCAAGGAGGAGCACTGCGGGTGACTGCTCCAGACAAGAAGATGTGTCCTGACTTGTTTCATAGAGGATGGAACTGGGCTGTTCCATTCCTGATAGGATGGTAAGAAGAGGAACTTCTCATGCAAACTTGCGATCCCTTTTTGTGACAGTAAGGAACACTTAGTATCTGGTTGGTCTTCTGTACCTTGTGCACTGCTCCATTGTGGAGCGGATAAACTGACCAATCAGTGCCAGGAACTGCTCAGTGTACCGGGAGTGAAATTGCTTTAGCAGAGTAAGCAGACCCAGGATGAGTGGTGGCCAGTCAACAGGGTCGGCAGGTTTCCGGCAGACCATGCCTGTGAGGGAACAAGTCATAGCACCCAATCAACAACTTGCTTTTAGCAACGTTCAGTAAATATCAGTCCTCATCACTGGTAGGTGATTATTTGGAGGAAACATAATTCTGGGGTATATCTTGAACTAGCTGTGGGACTGGTAGATCATTCTATTGACATGAAGGATCCAAAACTAAATTTTATCATTACTGTTTAGTTTGGATTATGTAATACATGCTATGGCAGAAACCAGATATAGATGAATGTAAATGAGAAAATAATCACCTCTAACCGTCTTCAGTTAATGGCATACTAGATAGCCCGAAGCATTCGCCTGAGTAAAAACAGCTAAAATTCTGGTTAAAATATTTCAGTTATCTTTAAAAACAATGCTGGGTGTTAATATAAGAAAAGAGTCTGCTGAAGTCAGGGGAGTGGAAGGAAAAGCATGTGAGGTGAGTGAATGTCAAAGCTGGCTTTTCCATGAAGGACTTTGGCCAGACTCTGGAGACTCTGACCTTCTGCCTGGTTGGCTGTGCTGCAAATAGAAGACAAGTTTGGGGCCTTTGGGGGAAGCATCATGCTGAAATGTTAGCACACTTGCACTGCCTGATTTCAAGGCTTATAAAGTGACAGTTGTCAAAAGAGTACTGGCATTAAGACAGATCAATGGACTAGAATGGAGCCCAGAAATAGTTCAACCCCCAAATGATCAACTGGATTTCCGCAAATGCGCCAGGCAATTTAATGGGGAAAGAGACATTTCTTTAATAAATGGTGCTGAAAATTGGATATCCTTATGGAGAAAAAACAGCCTGATGCCAGATGCAAAATAATTTGAGATGGTCCACAGACCTAAGGTAGAAGGTGAAACTACAGGGTTTCTAGAAGATGAGCAGACAAAGCAAAGTCTGTGAGAAAACAGTTTCATAGCCACACATAGACCCCTGAGAGACATGCGTTTCTGATCTGGAGACTAACCTCTGCAGTGATCAGATGGCCTTTAGTTGATTTTGACAACCGCAGAGAGGGATTTGCCACCTGTGAGCACTCACCCTGTGTGAGGCATGGCACCATGGGCAAAGTCACAGGTAGGAAACAGCAGAGCTAGAATCCAATCAGACATCTGTGCCCTCCCTTCCCCAGCAAGAACTTATGGGGGCACCACACACTGCCATCTGTGGCACTAAAGGAGCTGTCATGGGAATAATGCCTGGAACCAATGAGTATTTCTGAATGAATATTCACAGTGTTAGTTAAAAAAAAATCTTAGGAAGGAAAATATTTTAAGGAAATAATAAACACATTTTGAAATTTTTTTTAAGAAAAAAATATTTAGCTAGGCATGGTGGCACACGCCGTTAATCCCAGCACTAGGAGGCAGAGCAGAGGCAAGCAGATCTCTATGAGTTCAAGGCCAGCCTGGTCTTTATAGTGAGTTCCAGGTTAGCTGGGGCTACAGGGAAACCCCATCTCAAAAAGACATATATATATATATTTATAGAAATGTTCTTAAATTTTTTTTTTTTTTAATGTGTGGGAGTGTTTTGCCTGTGTGTATGTAAGTGTACCCACTGCAATGCTTGAGGAGGCCAGAAGAGGGCATCAGATATCAGATCCCCTGGAACTGGACAATTGTTAGCTGCCATGTGGGTGCTGAGAACTGAATCCAGGTCTTCTGAAAGAGCAGCCAATGATCTTAACCTCTGAGTCATCTGTCCAGCCTGCCTCTGATTCCTGAGTACTAGGATTAAAGGCATGCACCATTATGCCAGGCTAGAAATGTTCTTATAAGGGCTATTTATTATGCTGCTGGGTTAATTAAATATAGCGAATTTAAAATATTCTACTTAGTTGGATGCAAAGGTTGGAGACAGGAAATACTTGGGACTCTATTAGGTAATTATAAAAGTGTTCAATAAACTAGTCAGGGACAAAAAATTAGTTTTATTACTTGCCAGGATACCTATATTGAAAGCCTTGAGTATCTACTACTTGTAACAAATATTCTGACATGCATGAATCACCATGTGTATATCCAAGTCTAAGACACTCAGGTTATTAGCGTATCTCAAACGATACTGTAACTTCATACTTACAGTCCTGGGACCCAGAAACATCCAACACTAGAAACAACAGAAACCTCTTTTTAACACAAAGAGGTTTATTTCATACTATAGTCAGCTACTTAAGCATGAAGTGAGGAGAAGAGTTAAGACGCCCCCCCCCATTCTGTTGGACAGGTAGACTGTATGTGGGTGGCTATGTACATTTCATGACAGGTGATATACTTCACAGACATGAAAGCATGCATTTCAGTAACATGCATTTGATTAAGAAAAGATCTGATATCTAACACACCATTATGTTCAAAGAGCTGTGGCCTTAGATACTGATATACTGTTTATTTTTTACAAAGCAAAAACATTGTACTGTACCTAGATTTTTGTTGTACTGAAGTTTTGGCAACTGAGCAATCAAAAATAGAAAGTTGACAACTGGGAAATAAGGTAAGCGCTTTGTTGTTATATAAATCTGGAAAGAGAAAGAGAAGAAAAATGGATGTTTCTCCACATTTCAGAATAACACAGAATACATTTTCCAATGGAAAACTGTTGCTACTTCCATTTGCTCTTCTGAGTGCCTAAGACTTGGGAGAGCTCATCATTGACTGTGCTTGGAGTTTTACCTAACCTCATGTAAATACAAATACCCACATCACACTTTAACCCTTCTGGAAAGAATAACTTTGCTTAGAGACTAGCAGGTCCTCCCTTAAATCCTGCTAATGCCACTTACAGAGAAGGGAAAGGGTGCTGAACAAGAATGGCGGGGGAAAGCAAAATCAAGAGTGGTAGAGGCAGAGTTGGAGGTGAAGAGATGGAGTTTGAGACAGAAAAGAGAAGAAAGAGATCCAGGTAGCAGAGAGTGATGGTATATGCTGAGAAAGAAAGCAAAGTCTTCCTTTGCCCTTTGCATCTCCAAGCAGTCTCCCTCTCAGTTAATACAGCAGAGAAATCAGGGCAGACACAGCCATGCCACCCCCGGCGGGCACCCACTCCACAGAAGACAGCGCAGCACACTGGCTCGGAGCTCAGGCTCTCATCACCTGCTAGCTCCATCACTAGCTTCGTTCCTGGGGAAGTCCTTAACCTTTCTGGTCTCAGCCTCCTCACCCAAGAATGGCCTGCTTCGTTGGGCCAAACACAGTATCTAGCACAGAGCACATAATCAAAAGATCTTAGCTGCTCTTCAGGTTCAGCATCTTTGTTTTGTCTTGAGACATAGTCTTATTATGCAGCCCAGGCCTGTTTCACATAAGCTATACAACCCAGGATGGCCTTGAACTTGAAGTCATCTTGCCTGCACCTCTACACTACTGGGATTACGAGCATGCAACACTACATTCAGTGAGGTTCATAATCTTTTTTTATGTAAAATCTGAAGGATAACTGCAATTTAAGAATTTCAAATTTTACAGATTTTAGAAAGTAACCAGGGTAGCCACCTAAAATGATCATGTTTCTGCATCAACACAGAAATATTCACATTAAGGAATATAAATAACAAGTATAAACAGTCTACATGCATCAGGTGGGGACAGTCTATGAAACCACTCAGTGGTTTCTGGAGCTCCGAATTGCTGAAGAGTGTGGTGCCTCATGTTTGTAATTGTGATTCCTATGGGCTACTGGGGAAACATATTCAGGTAAGAGATCAGTTTGACCATTCAGCTGCCGTTCAAGTTCCAAACCCTAGGTGAACCCTGAACTGACACCACACTTCTACTTTTCCAGAGGTCTGACCAATACTATACCACCAGTCTCACAACCTGAGGCAGGGACCTGACAGAATGGACAGGGGTCTGAACCTAGGTTCTTGAATATTTTCACATTGATCTGTTACCTGGACCAAGCCACCTTTTGTGCCACACTGCCCAATCCCATCACCCCATTATACATTTTAATCATTAACCTTATTTAGTGGGTTGTGAATTCCAGCTGCCTCCAGATAAGCTGTAATTTCATATAAGAGTGTGTTATCTTCTTTGGGGTAAGGAAGTGAAGGGTCCTGATAGTGGGCTTCAATATCAGCCAGGAGCGCCCTGATGGGAAAAAGAAGCAGTGATAAGCCACCATGTATGTGCTGGGAACTGAATCTGGGTCATCTGCAGGAGTAGCCAGTGCTCTTAATCACTAAGTCATCTCTCCAGCCCCAAGAAAGACATTTTTATCCAAGAGAAGGGAGCCTAGGAATTCAGAATTCCTTACCCAAAGAGACCTTAAAGGTCCCTTGGAAGATGAGCAGTCTGTGCCTGAGGCGGCCATTCTTAATCCTGGCACTTACTTATTAAGGTTGTCCAGAGCAGCTGCCAGATGCTTGGAATCAAATCGACAGGAATAATTTAACTCATTGGCAATCTGTTGTCGCAAAATCTGCATCTGCCCAACCTGAGAACAAGTCAAAGAACACAGAGGTGACACATGGGGCACTTCAGAGTCATCACTGGGACACAAACAGAGCTGGAGAGCTTCCAGGCACTCTACAGAAAGGAGGAAGGATTTCCTGGACTAGTTCCATGGAAAGGGGTCCCTGAAGGAAGCTGCCTATGTTCCCCTGAAATCTAAGAGTCAAGAGTGACCTATTAATACCCAGGTGCTCATGGATCAAATGTGCTCTTTATTTTTATTTATTTATTATATGTATTTTTTGGAGTGCTGGAAACCAGACCCAGAGCCTTGTACATGCTAGGCAAGTGCTCTAACACCAAGCTACATCCTCAACCCACAAAGGAAACTTTTTTGAAGCTCTACTTTTGATCTTTTGGAATAAGCTCTCCACACTATACATTACTGTAAGAAGCCCTGTTTCATCAGGTGAGCAAGTAGCCTTCTTCTACCATACCCTTCTGCCTTGATGCTATTTCACAACAGGCCCAGAAAGATGGACTCAAGTGTCCCCTGAAACTGTGAGCCAAAATAAACCTTTCCTCCTCGTTTTCCTCAGGTATTTTGTCACAGTGATGGAAAAGCTCACACAACTAAAAAGCATATGGAAAGTCTAGGGAAAATAGTATTCCAAAGGATCCCTTTCATCTCCCTGACACTCAGAGTGGAGACCCAGGCAACTGCTCACTCTTAAAAGGTTTTCCAGCACTTAGAAATCTGACCTAAGAAGCTCTTGGTATTTTACAGCTGAGACTAAGAAATATCAGATCTACATAACAAGAGGACATCTAGCAAAGCCAAAAGCTCCCCATATTACCTATGGTTTAGCATTTCAAAGTGAAAGCAAAACAAAACTACCCATAAAAGTTATGGCTAACGTATTATGAACATGACTGAGATAACTTATGCAATGGGAGAATGAATTCTCCTACCATTCTAGACTATTCCCTTAGTACTTGTGCTCATTAGTTTTTGTCAACTTGACAGAAACTAGAGACAGCTGGGAAGAAGAAACTTCAATTGAGGAATTCCATGGGACTGTGAGGCATTTTCTTAATTGTTAATTGATGTCAGAAGGCCCAGCCCACTGTGGGTGGTGCCTTCCCCGGGCAGGTGGGCCTAGGCTGTGTAAGAAAGGGAGCTGAATGAGTAAGGTGAGCAAGCCAGGAAGCAGCATTCCTCCATGGACTCTGCTTCAGTTCCCCTTTCCAGGTTACTACTTTGAAATCCTTCCCTGACTTCCCTCCATGACAAAGTATAACCTGTAAGGCAAAGTAAACCCTTTCCTCCCACAAGCTGCCTTTGGTTGGTGTTTCATCACAGCAATAGAGAAGCAAACTAAAACAGTACTCTGGAGTTTTTCTGTGGTACAAGACACTTGATGATGAGTCCTAATTTTCTACCAGGAACTCTAGTCTCTCCTGTGGTGGGCATGCTTTCTAACGTTGTTCTTGCAACTTTCTCTTGCAGCAACTGACAATGCCTATACATAACAGGTGCTCAGTAAAGCCTTGCTGAACCTCTCTGATATCAAATACTGAGAGAGGGACGCACAGACGAAATAAATGGTCCCTGGGAGCTGCAGCCATGGGTAAAGGCAGGAAAGTGGGTGACTAAATTCTAAAGTAAGCTGGTTTCCATCTAGATAATTAATCTCATTCATCTTTACTCCTCATTTCTGAAGACAAAGTATTTTATTTATGGCACAGGGATAATTTATGTTCCCAAAGAACCCTGCTTCTTAACACCTGTTGACACAGGAGGGGACAGGACAAATGCCCCGTTATAGATCAGTGCATTAAATGAACTTGGAGTGAATTTCTATCTCCTTGTACAGAGGCATCTCTGATCAAAGACATTTCAAAAGGAATGAGTTTTCTTGAGCAAATGGGAAACAGTTGGCTGGCCCATTAAGAGCCTAGTCAACAGTTCCAAAAAGAAAGAAATGAATGACTTCAGAAATAATGAGAGACTATTTTTGTTTTGGTAAAAGGAAGAAAGCAGATTTCCATATACCACAAAGTCACAAAATAATAATTTATAAAACATAGTATTGATTACCAGTTTCCCATAAAATACCTTCATTATAGCCTCTAGGTAAGAATTCCAAATCTTCTGTGTTTTGGTGATGGCAGAAAGATAAATTTTACTTGAATTTGCTGAAAAGGAAATTATAATTTTCATTTAGTAAATCCAGAAAGGCTACAGTACCATACTATCTCTGCCATGGGTGAAGTCTCAGGACACTTACCTACAATGCTTTTTAGGGGGCTGACAGCATTCATGAGGGTTTTCAAAGTATCTTGAACAATTCTATCTCTCAGGATAATTTTCTGAAACATACTGAGGAAATTCTACAAACAAGAAGCCACAATGAAAAATCCAAACACAATGAATATAACAAATAAATACTCCAGCTAACTCAAACACTGTAGAACACTACTTGTGCCTAGACATACAGCCTCTATATAGGAAGGCGGACAGCAGGACCAGGTTCCTATAGAAACAGGCCCTGCAGGGAGGAGTTACTGGCTTCAAACACAGTTACTTCTCAAGTTGAAATTCACTCAACCAGTCTACCCATAAAAATACAATGATGCAGGGCTGGAGAGATGGCTCATAAGACGGCCTGGGTTTGGTTCCCAGCACCTACACGGTGGCTAACAATCGTCTGTAACTCCAGTTCCAGGGGATCTTACACCCTCTTCTGGTCTCTGTGGGCACTGCATGACACAGGTGCACTTACATACATGTAGGTAAAACACTTGTACACATAAAACAAATAAAATGTTGGCCAAAGAAATTCTAGTTTACTATCAGTTCTTCTCTGCCCAGTAAAATCATCCACACTTCATGTCAGTGTAAGAAACCATGAAGACAATGAATTTAACTTGCCCAATAAGACTATCGTCATGTCTCCCAGACACCAGACATGCGGATCTGTGACAGACAATCTTCTTTCTCAACTTGACAGGACTTAGACTCAGCACTGACAGAGTTTCCAAAGAGATTTAACTCTTTGGAGTGGAGTCGAAGAAGAGAAGACCCACCCTGAATATGGGCAACACCATCCCATAGGTCGGAGTCCAAGATGCAATAAAGAGAAAGTGAGCTAAGCACCAGCATCCATCTCTCTGCTTCCTGACTAGGGGCACAGTGTGACCAGATGCCTCATGCTCCTATCGCCACAACTAGAACAATATCCATGCCATACTTTCACAGACTATAATCTCAAACTTGTAAACCAAAATAGAACCTTCTTTCCTTAAGCCGCTTTGTCAGGTATTTTATCACGGCAGTGAATGAAGTAACTAACAGGGGGTCCCAGGCTCACCTGTAACTCTTTCACAATCATGAAGCACAGAAGCCTGTCCAACCCATTCAGACCAAAAGTCCCTAAGGTGGTCTGGATTTCTGAGAAGAGGCGACTGCTGGTTACTTCTTGATGAGTTTTCATGTCATACCAGGTGTTCAGCTGGTCTATGTGACAAGTCATTCTAAAACAAAACCAAAGTCCCAGCAGCTCAGAATGCATCCTAAAGGGATGTGGAACTCAACAGGAATTGGGGTCATCAAATACCCAGGATACCAGCTACATGACTTCTTTTTGCTTGTTTTAGACAGTCTCACCATATGACCCAGGCTGGCCTGGACGTACAAGCAGGCCTGCCTTAACCTCCTGGGATTCCAAGTGCAAGCCACCACTACTGGCTCTGACTCATGTTTTCTAACTTCTGTCCAGGCACTTAGTCTTGCCTGCCCGATGCACCAGGAAGTAAACTTCAGCTAGGCCTCCTCACCCTGCCCCAGTACAGCTTCTTTGCTTTTATTTATTTTCACTGGGTGGCACACTAAGAAGAGAAGGTTGAGTTTAGCTGTCAGGCTGGAGGATTTTAGGGCACCAGTTGTCTTCCTACAGGATGTTTCTTTAGATTTTCAGATACAGAGGACATTTCCATTTGGTAAAGATGAAGAAATCTACCATCTTTCAGTGGTGACGTTTGAGAATGGGACAAAGCTCTGTGCTCCTTAAGCAGGTTCCCATCTTCCTGGCATCTCCCAGTGATTCCTCTTAGTATCAGGAGTATGGCATGATGACAACAGTGGTAACAACCCACAATACCAATTGAGCACTCAGTGTTATCCTATCTCTCACAAGAGTTTTGTGAACACAAGCCATTTAAGCCTCCATTTTTAGAGGGGAGGTAACTGAGAGGCAGCAGGTCCCAACATCTTATCCTACACTGCCACTTCAAACTTTTGGTCTTCAAACTGTGTGGGGGAGGGGCCTTGAGCGACCAGTAAAGCCTGTGGAAAACACAGATGCCCACATCCCATTCCTGAATAATCTCATTTCTGTAGGTATGGGATGGAACACGAGCCTCTACAGTTCCAAGATTCACACATTTAGGCCCCATGTTCTAAACAGCACCACATAGTACATACCTTTACTAGGATGGGGTTTGAGAAGGAGCTGAAAGCCCATAGAGTGAGGGAGTTAAACTCAGAAGGAAATGTGAAAAACGAGCAAAGCAGGCTTCTCCAGGTACACACATCCTCTATGCTCAGGCTTCACGGTGCCTTTCTGCTCCCCAGTGCTGGCACTTTGAACATAATGTCTGAGAGGTTCTTGGTTCTGATGGTGAAATACCAATCATGCCTAATCTACACAGATATGAACAGGGTGCTTGGCAGGGTAGTTTTCTAAAAGGGCTCAATGATTCAACCCATGGTCAACAACAAACGATTAATATTTACCCTCTTCCCTGTGACAGAAAAATTAATTTCTGCTGGAAATCTTGGAACTTTATAGTTTATCAACTATCTCAAATCTTGAGACAAAATAAGCCTGGATTAGAAGGCAGTGCAGAACATTTATATAGTGTATTCAACCCTGCATGCAAGTGGGGGTAGAGAAAGAGTCATTTTTCCCCCTGGGCAATTCCACCCACCATGGTTCTCCATGAAGATGTGCCCGGTGACATGAACTACTAGACATGAACCTGGTTTCCTCAGCCTTAGCGTGCACTGCTTCATCTGCATTCAATGAGCAGAGGAGGAAATGGATTTAGCTGGACTTCCTGAAAGGCAGCATGATGCCCACCAAAGATATTCTCAAGTAGAGCCCTCATTGCATGAGATTTCTACCCAGTCCCTGCTGAATGCAGAGACCATGTGACTGGGATCCACTGTACACAAAGTTGTAATGGTCTGCCATTGACCAGCACAGTGCTTAGGAGTTGGGGGCCTGGCATGTTCTGGGTCTGCCACTTACTAACTGTGTGATACTGGGCAAGTGAGCGACTTTTGTGTCTCAACTGCATCTTTAAAGTGGTAACAGCTCCTAAGACTATTTTAACTATATAGACATGTACTGTGCTGAGCGGAGTGCTTCAATAATTAATCATAGTTCTTACTAAGTGCTGGGGTGCTGGGCTAAGAAATAAGAGCATCATCTTTAAGAGTCAGGATATGTGTTGATGTGTTCCCCAGGGGTCCTGGTTCCTCCAAGGGGCAGGGCCTGCTGCAGAGAGTTGACTGTGGAGAGTTAGCCATGGAAGGAGGGGCATGTGGTGCCATCTTGGGACAGGAGCCATGAGCCGACAGGAACACGCAGTGGTGGGTGCATGGGGAACGTGCAGTAGATGTGGAGAAGAGATGGTGAGAGGAGGCATTTATGGGCCTGGGGCAAGACCGCTGGCCTGAGGCGTGGGTGAAAGCTAGTGGTGACTATGTGCGTGCCGATGGAGCGATCTTGTATGGTGGGCTCTGAGCTGTGGCACAGAGCTGGGTGGTGCGGAGCTGAGCATGGAGCTAGGCACTGGGTGTTCATTTCTTTGTAAGTCCCTCCACTCCCCCCGCATGATAATAATAAATGTACATAAAGATATGTTACATGGTTTGCCTGATAGCGCAAGAGACCCAGAGAGAACTCTGGTGATAGTTGACAAGTATAGACCAGGGCCAGTGCACCTCAGAGATTGCCTGGAGGCAAATTCAGAAACAACCTACTTTGGGTCTGTGATCCGTAGGATTTCTCTGCAGAGACGACCAATAAATGTCATGGATTCATCCACAGGGGTGAACTTTGGTATAGGAATATGAGTGGACTGGTACATACTTTGCCAATCTTGAATCTAGAAAACAAAACCATACATATTCAGTTTAACTTTGATAATGTAACCCAGGTATGTTTTCTTTATATATTCTTACAAACATTGCATGACGAGTAACAATTACATCTTCCTTGGTTTTGAAGAGGAAACTTTTAAAATCATATCAGTAGACTCCCCCAAATGCTACATATAACATTAAATATAAAAAAAAAGCTGTTGAAGAAGTGAAGTAAGGGCTGGGGATGGAGTGTGGCTGGTAGAGTGCCTGCCTAACATGCTCAAAGCCCTCAGCTCTAGTACCTCATCAACCAGGCATGGTGGTGCAGGCCTGTAATTCCAGCATTAGGGAGGTTGAGGAAGGAAGACAGAAAGTTCAAGGTCATCCTTAGTTACACAGTGAATTGGAGGCTGGTCTGGGTTGTACGAGACCCTGTTCCCCTGACCTCAAGAAAAAAAGAAGTAAGGAGTAAGAAGAGAAAGAAACTTCGGGTTTCTGTCTTGTGAGTGAGTTGACATGGACAGTGTAATCTAAAATCTAAAACATCATAAGGTTTAAATACCTCAAAAAGCGTCACCTAAACATGTCAGTTCCTTATATAAAAACATACAGAATGGCTCCCTTGTTAACTGCTATCTAAAAGCACTGGCAGCACTTGAGTTTGGTGATCTTTTTTCACTCAATTAAAACAAAAAACTCCCCCAAACCTGTATACTACTAATTTTTCAAGTAAGATATACACAAGGACAATTAAAAGATGCTTGATAGTCACTAGGGAAGCACAAATCAAATTAGATACCAGTTCACACCCCAAAAGCACCGCTTAAATAGGGAACTATAGCTGGGCGTGGTGGCGCACACCTTTAATCCCAGCACTCAGGAGGCAGAGGCAGGCGGATCTCTGTGGGTTCAAGGCCAGCCTGGTCTACACAGTGAGTTCCAGGACAGCTGGGGCTACAGGGAGACCCTGCTTTAAAAAGACCACCCCCCCCAAAAAAAAACCAAAAAAAAAAGAAGGGAACTATAAGCCAGGCATGGTGGTGCACACCTTTAATCCTAGCACTGAGGGGGGCAGAGGTAGAACTCTATAAGTTCAGTTCAAGGCTAGCCTGTTCTACATAGCGAGTTGCTAGCCAGCTGGGGCTACAGGGAAACCCTGTTTCCAAAAAAAAAAAAAAAAAGTGAACTGTAGCAGTAGCAAGCATTGGCTGGGACTGAGGAATGTGGAAGCCTCGTGCACTGCTGGGGGGTAGAAAGTGGTCCTGCTGCTGTGAGAGACTTTGGCGGCTTCTGACTAGGTTAGACATAATTACCAGGAATGTACCCTGATTAACCTGAAGAAGTCATCTCCTGAACTCTCCATCACTGGCTTCTAACAGTCCCAGCAGCAGCTTCTGCAGGAACTTAGTTCTGTCTGCTTTCTCCTTAGGACAGAAAGCTCTGTGACTTCAGGTCCCCATGTCATCTTTCCTCACACTGAGTCTCCTGAGGCACTCTGAGGGGACTTAATGATTTTCAGTAATTACTTTAAAAAAACTTTCTTGTTAATATTGTTGAGGTTTGGAGCATATATTTTTAATATGAGAAATAACAGATCTAGTCAAGAATTCTAAATGTATTAGACACCTTTGTTCTTAAGAAGTTATTACATTCTTGTTCCACGTTATAATTTATAATGCGAGAGACTTCTTCCTGCCAAATCTTCAGCCCATAAATGTTGACGTAGTCCTGTATGTACTCAAAAGAGCGATGGAATCCGTCCATTGTAGCTCCCAGATCTTTCAGCTTGGGCATCAGTTCACTTGGCTGTATAGAGGATACATGTCAATCTATTATAGTGGAGCAAACTGTCAATACTGACACCTATATTAGTCTTTAAATGATACGCTAACTAAAGGACTGGTTATAGCTTGAGACATGGTTAAAGCTTTAGGAATATTCACTTCCTACTTGAGCAAGCCTGACTGGTAACTGATGTCAGACATACAGCTGAGAATAGATTTCATTCATTTGGAAGGAAGCCTCATATAAAGAACATAATAAATGAATACTCATGGCTTCATATCATCTGGTGGACACATCTAATTTTAATACACTTAACACTTTAATTTGAATTTACTAAGGTGAAAAATACCCTACATAAAAAATTCAGGTCTGGGCTGGAGAGATGGCTCAGGAGTTAAGAGCACTGGCTGCTCTTGCAGAGGACCCAGGTTCAGTTCCCAGCACCAACATGGAGGCTAACAACTGTCTGTAACTCTAGTTCTAGGGGATACAATGCCCTCTTCTGACCTCCAAGGGCACTGCATGACATGGGTGCACTTACATACATGCAGGCAATATACTCATACACATGGAATAAAAATAAGCTGGGCGTGGTGGTACATGCCTTTAATCCCAGCACTTGGGAGGCAGAGGCAGGCGGATCTCTGTGAGTTCGAGGCCAGCCTGGTCTACATAGTGAGTTCCAGGACAGCTGGGGCTACAGGGAGACCCTGTCTCAAAAAGACCAAAAAAAAATTTTTAAATTCAGACCAATTTTGTTTTCTTCAGAAAAAATCCTGTATTTTCTAATAGGTAATGCAAAATAAAAAATTACAATTTTTAAAGTTTCTATCTCCTTTATGGTTAACAAGTTCTTTGAACTACAGGAAGTAACTCTGACTCATAAACATCAGTTCAGTTCTTCAGAGTAGAAATGAACAGAGGAGGAGAGAATCACTGATTTTAAAAAATTTTCTGATGAGTGGATTATAAAAAGGACTAAAAAGCTATTCAGTTGTTGGTACCAGAAATCACATACTGGATATGCATGAGAGCAGGGTGGTCTCATTAGGAACAGTGCTCAGGGCATGCTGGGAGTGAGTGAAGAACACAGAACCATTCCGGTCACTTGTACCTTGGCCCGAGTGTTGAATATGAGTCCCCTGTGGAGAGCAAAAGCAACCCTTTTAACTAGCTCCTTCCTTATTCCGTCTTCCAACAACTGCTTGGGATCCACCTAGGTACAAATCAAAGACATTAAAGGGTTGTTAGGAAAGAGCCAGTTAGAGGACGATGGATACCAGAATCTGAAGTCAGCATTTTCCTATCCCATCTCTAAATGAATGGATTTTTTTTTTTCCATTTCTGTCCCTATTTGGTCTTTTGAGTGTTGGACTGAATTATTAATCTTGTCATCTCCACAGGACTCTGGTTCATCCTTGATAAGTTTCATTATAATTTCAGAATATACTTTCAAAGATGGCAGATACAGTTTTTAATTGCTTAACATTTTAATCATTTCAGGAGGTGGTGGTGGAATGAAGGCCCACATCTAGATTTAGCCATGTGTCTTTCCTCCAGATACTGCCTCAGGGCATCTGTCTCCACAGTCACACACTCAAGACTTGGGCTGTGCCACTCTGTAACTCTCTTTTCTTTCAGCATTCTTAGAAAGCTGTTTATAATTGAGAGATCAAACTGGAAAGCAAATTTGTTACCTAATGCTTATCTAAACTTATTTTACTAATTTTTTCCCAAGATAAGTTTTTGGTTTTCAGTAAAAAACAAGTCCCATCAAATCCTCCAAACATCAAATGGTTTCCACATATCCCTTGAGATGAATTTCTTCTACTTGAATTTGTAAAGAAGCATATTACTTAAAAATCATAAAAGCTGAATATGGTCACTTATGCCTATTAACAGCACAGGGGGAAATAAGGCTTTATTTTACAATGAAAAGGTCATTGTAAATATATATATGTATATAGCTGATAAGAATCAAAGAAAATTGAAGCTTTCAAAGAAATATTCTATGTAAGAACAGGGACTGGGGGATGTAGTTCACGACAGAGTATGTGCTTTGCATGGGAAGGGCCTGGGGTTCAATTCTCAGTACACAGGTTCACACAGTTAGTGGAGTCCAATGCTTTTGTGAATCTAAAGAGCTCATGAGACTCTTCTGGTTGGTCCTTATTTTTACTAATGATGGAATTATTCAGCACTCAGAAGACACTGTTTCACACAATCCCTTCTTTATATTTCTATCCCCTTTCTTTGAAGTTAGCAACAGTTAACAGTTTTGTAAACCAGTTTTGTAATCAGTGGTAAAACACTTTTCTAGTTTGTAGAGGCCCAAGTTTCAATCTCAAGCACTACAAAAAACAAAAAACAACCCAATAAACCAAATGGTTTTCGTATGTATCCTTCAGATTTTACTCTAGTCACTTATATAGACACATGTAATTTAGAAATATAAATAGGAAATACATGTGTATGTACATAATACATATATGTATATATGTATAAACATATATAGAATGACATACTAATATTTATATGGCTTTGAAATTTGCTTTTTTTTTCATTTTGTACTGGAAATTTTCCAGTGGCAAATTCACCTTGAATGGCTTGCAGAACAGTCCACAGTATAAATGTCTCACAATATATTTGACTATTCCCAATAACAGATGTTTAGATCATTTCTGGATTTTTTGACTCCCTCTAACAATGAAAAAAAAAATTACATCTATGCCCTTATCTCACTTTTTTTAGGTACTATTGAACGCAATGAACCTAGACTGCTTGTAAGTTTGAAGTATATTCTTGATTCTAGCAAGGGCCAGGAAAAAAAAAAAAATCCAAAGCCCTGTGTTCTTACTTAGACTGGCAGATTGATGTAGACTGAACAAGACTGATCAGTATGATATTCTTCTGCCCTCATCTGGAGACTGCAGTAAAAGGTAAGATTTTCTTAAGTAGTCTTTCTTTTGATGATTATTACTAATTAGTAGGCCTTACTATCTTCTTCCTATGCTGGTCACTTGGCAGTGCTAGGACTGGTCATCCTGTATGCATTAGTCAGAAGGGAGTCACCAGCATGTAGCTCTTTGCATCACCATCTTAAATTGGCACCAGGCCTCAAGAATGTTTAGAAGATTCTATTAATATTCCATAATGGCATTATATTTTAGTGCACTTCCAGAAAATACATACATAGTTCCATTTTTTTTTTAGGTTCATTTCTTTTACTTTCTTGGACATTCGTAGTACAAATGTGGTCTGGCAATTTGATGGCTACACATTTTTTTTGTATGTGTGGGGTGCACATGCATGTAAATGGAAGTCAGAGAACAGCAGCAGGAGTCCTTCCTCAGGAGTTTTTTGTTGTTGTTGTTGTTGAAACAGGCTCTTTCACTGCCCTGGGAACTTGCTTGCCAAGTAGACAAAAATTACTGGCTGCTTATGAATGTGCACCACCATGTCCCATTTTTTTACATGGGTTCTGGGGACTCAAACTTAGGTCCTTGAAACACTTTACTGATAGCAATCTCCCTAGCCTGATAGTTATAAATTACAGAAAAATCAGAAACAAGATGGGCATGGTGGTGCACATCTTTAATCCCAACAACTCTAAGGCAGAGGCAGGCAGATCTCTATGAGACTGAGGTTAGCTTGGTCAACACAGCAAGTTCCAGGCCAGCTGGGACCCTGTTTCAAAAAACCAAAAAACCAAAACCAAAACCAAAACAACCCTCTGAAACATTCAGAATCTACTCACATGAGAGAAACTGAAAGATAAAAATTACTATGAACTATGTGACTGGGCACATTGAAATCATGAAAGAATTCCAAATTAAAACATCAATGAGGCATCACTTCATATCCCTTGGGAAAGCAAAAAATTCAGAAAGTAGACAATACCAAGTACTGTCAATGATGAGGGCAATCCGAGGAAACAGTTAGGACTTCCTAGGACAATCTAGCAAATTAGCAGAACTGAAACAGAGTACGACAAAGCAGCACTAGTTCCCAGAATCTAGTCCCGGGTACACAGGTTTCAGGAGAATTCTTGAACAGGTGTGGAATAGGGATGTGCTCAGAGATGCTGACTGACCATGACATTGGGTGGACAATGGTGAACACAGGCAGAAATTCTACATAGCAGGAAGAAGTAACCAACTATCTGAGTTACAGAAGCAATAACCAGTGAAAAAAGGTGGAAAAATTATGAGATTTAGAGCACAATGATTTAGATAAATTAAAACATATGCACCCATACTATCACATACTAAAAATGAGGATCTTGGATAGCTAGGGATATATATCTAACATGTAGAGTGGCTGCTATGGGGAATGGGATTGACAGTGGGGATCCAGGAAAGGAAAGATAAAAACAGGAGAGGAGCTTGCATGCACAAGTGCAGCTGACGGTCTGCCAACACAAGCAAACCATTAGCTCTGGGCACCTGGGGTGTATGATAAACAGGCTAGAAAGGAAGGAAGAAGGAAGAGGGAAGGAGAGAGAAATCAAGGAAGGGGAAAAAAGGGTCAGATGGAAGGAGGGGTAGGAGATAGAAAGAAAGAGAGAGAGAAGAGAGGGAGAGAGGGGAGGAGGAAGGGAGGGAAAAATATAGCAGAACTGCCTAAGGAAACTGAGCCGTTTTGCTTTCTTTGCTACTATAAAATTCAATGAAATAAGTTGGGGATGCTGGTACATGCCTGTAATCACAGTGCTTAGGAGGTAGAGGTAGTAGGAGGTTCAAAGCTAGCCTCAGTTATACAATGACTTTGAGGTTAGCCTGTGTTATATGAGATCCTGTCTCTAAATCCCAAACAAATAAGATTTGTTTTGTTTTGTTATGAGACAGAGTCTCCCTGTAGCCCCCTGGAACTCACTATATAGACCAGGCTAGCCTTGATTAAAAGTTTTCTAAATATATTTTTAAAATTCATGAATGCAACAGTTACTAGCACTACTTACAAGATAAATTCCAAGTTTATGTCATAGGTTGTCTTTAATAACAAGGAGCAATAAAGATTCTAATACTCCCTCTTCCTCCATCAACAAATGAGTATAATCACAATCAGAATGTGACACAAGGTCACATCCCTTCCTGTTCCACACATGGTAATTAACAGAAAATGTAAACAATCACAAAGCCACACAGACCAGCAGCAAGACTGTTACCTTGATGATGCCAACCAGAGTCGTTTTCATCATTAAGATGCCTTCGGTGAAAATGGAAATAGCATGAGTAAGCTTGGCAACCTTTAACAACAACAAAAAGAGCTATAATGAAGTACTTGACATATAAGATTCCTCACTTCTATGGAAGGCTGAATAACTGGCCAATAGTCCTGCAGAGGGCAAAAGCAACAGGAAATTAATATGTTGGCATGTAAAGAATGCTGGAGTACTTATGGCTAGGGTGGAAATGAGGCTCTTGGTGTAAGGAAAAGACTGTTGTTAGACTGGGTGAAGAGTTCACTGATGTCAGTTTTTCGAGCTATAACATGACCCTTGCCTTCTTTGTTTCTTGGTTCTAAAATTCTGGGCTGGCCTCTCTGAAAGGGATGGTCCCTTCCAGATGGAAGAGACTAAAGGAGATGTTGGGCAGTCATCTCCCTCACTTTTTTTTTTTTAATCTTTTTGAGACAAGGTCTCCCTGTAGCCCTAGCTGGCCTCAATCTCAGAGATCTGTCTGCCTATGCCTCTCAAGTGCTGGGATCAAAGATGTATGCCACTACACCCAGCTCCCTTCACATTCTTTTCAAGCAATAGGTGAAGACACGGGTAAAGTAGATGGAGGCTGAATTTTTGAGTCAGAATAAATGTAGAAATTTAAAGCTTGATAATCTAAACTCTTGGATTTTTTTTTTTTTTAAATAAATAGTTGCACCAGAGACTAGGAAATTGAGATTAGGGGGTCACAGTTTTAGCGTCACTTGATTTACTCTTTACATCTTTAAAAATTAAGTTCAGGGAGAATCTCTGAGACTGCTGAACTCTTGGGTGGACCTAAAGTCTTCTGCAAACAGTTAATGTAATATGGAGTAGTTTGTGCCTGGCTCAGTACACAGCTTGTCCCAGCTTATAATAGTTTAACAATTTTGACTTTATGATGGTGCAAAAGCATACTCATATAACCATTCTTTTTCATTTCCAGTATAACAGTCAATAAATTATGAGACACTCAATGCTTTATTATAAAGTGATTTTTCTATGAGCTGATTTTGCCCAACTGTACGCTAATGTAAGTGTTCTGAGTTGTTTATGTAAGAGAAGCTATATTTGGCTTGTCAGTTATAATATTACATGCATTTTCACTTAGAATATTTTCAACTTAGGATGGGTTTATTGGGATGTAATCTGATCATAAGTCGAGCAGCATCTATACCAAGGAAGAGCATGAATGCGAAAAGTCTAGGTCATTCTAGCCCAAGGGGAACAAGACAGTTCAAGAGAAAAGAGCTCCATTTCTACCAAGGATGTGAAGGAGAATAAGGATGTTAGGGATACCAGTAAAATGCCAAGAATCAAGGTGTGATGGCACTAAAATTGTAAACCATCACTATTCTGACAGTGTAAAAACACAATCAGAATTGGTCTGGTGGTTCCTGGAATATGTTGGGAGCCAAGGCCTTTGATATCCATAGTTTTGGGCTTTAAGTATCAAATGACAGAGATCAGGGGCTGGAGAGATGGCTCAGAGGTTAAGAGCACTGACTGCTCTTGTAGAGGGTGTGATTCCCAGCACCCACATGGCGATCAACAACCATCTGTAACTCCAGTTGTAGGGGATTCAATGCCCTCTTCTGGCCTCTGGGGCATTGCATGACATGGGTGCACATACATACATGCAGGCAAAACAGCCAAACATATAAAAAGAGAAGAAGAAAAAAGACAGAGATCAAAGAAACATGGCACCTCATATCGTGGGCCAAGCTGAGCATAGTCTCTCAGCTTGTCTTTGTCCAGTCGGGTAGGCACTTCAATGATGTCATGCGTCTGAAGCTTTATGATCTTTAGAAGAGACGTGAACATGCTTTCTGGAATGATCTGTAAAACCTGGGTGAAAGAGCAAGGAGGAAATATAACTGAGCATCAGTACTGTTTTTCTTAGCTGACAAATAGGATGGCAGCAAGAAGGGAACCAATGTATAGGAACAGCAATTTCTAAAGAGATGCTGAGAAACTTAAAAGAACTATCTTTAAAATTACTATAAGGCACAGGCTCCCTTCCTTCAGTCAGTAACTGCTTCAGAATGACTTTTTGTTCTCACATTACGGAGATGTCAGAGTTCTCAGCCAGTACACCACACAGACTGACTCTGAATTTTGGCATGACTGGCTCCTTGCTCCATCACAAGCTACTGAACTAAGGACCAAAGTTCTCATGAAAACTGGAATATAGTTCCACCAAGTTCATGATCTGATGGAGCAGCTCTGTGACTCTGAAGAAGGCACTAAAATCTATGCTCCTTGGTTTCTGCAACTCAAAGACCACCAGCATTTAAAATACTGGTGTCAAAGTTCTTTGAGGGTAAAAGAGTGTCACATCGGCATGTCCACAGGTGCAGTAAGAACGTTTATTTTTGGATACTACAAATTTCTGGAATTCAAATTTGGAAAAGGTAAAGCAACACAAGTTGCTTTTTACAAGGCCTAAGTGTACCCCTGTATTTAAGACAGCTGTCAGTCAATCAAAGTCAATCAGCCTGAGGCATTTCTTACCTTCCTTACATATGACACCAATTCCCCGGAATAATACTGAGACACGCTGAGGAGGTCTGGGCTGTTTGCTTGATTAATACGGAGAAGGGGTAGATCAAGGGCAGAGGCAAGCTGGAAGGAAAATATTTATCTGTTTCTCTGTTTCAAAAATATCCTAGTAATCGCTTTCCAGAAAATGGAATTTACAATGCAACATTTGTGCTTTACTCAATAGAGGGCAATAACCACCATGCCTCAGCAATATCTCAAATAGTTTCTGTCAATACATTAAAACAAAAGATACCTACTATAGCAGTGTTTCTCAAGGTGGACTGGTAATCTCCACTGGGAACTTGTTAGACATGCCAATGACTAGATCCCAGCCCAGGTTGACTCAACAGAACCTCTGGGAGCAGGGTGGAAAGCTTCTGTGGGAATGTGTCCTCCTGGTAACTGAGGTACCCACAGGCTTGAAAGCTGCTGTATTGTAGAGCAGGGCTCCTTAAATGCTTTCCACTGTGGACAGCCAAGCCTGTGCTGTCCTCACTGTTCCCTAACTTCAGAGTGCAGACTGGCTGGTAGCAGAGGCTCAACTCTTTGTTTTTGAAACAATAGTACAGAACTTAATTTGTGGGGTCTGGGGAGATGGTAAGTGCCTGCTGTGCAATGTGCATCTGCAACCCCAGTGCTAGATGGGGAGACAAGAGAATCCCTGAAGTTCACTGGCCAGTTAACCTCACTGAATCCATGAACTCCAGGTTCAATGAGAGACCCTGTCTCAAAAAATAAGGTGGAGAGCCATCAAGGAAAATACCTATGGCCTCTACATTCAAACACAGATGTGTCCATACACATACACACACACACACACACACACACACACACACACACGGCGGAAAAAAAAATTTGCAATTTGCCTGGTATGCATAAGACCCTGGGTTCCATCCCCAGAACAGGAGAAAAAAGTTTTAATTCATGTCCAGGGAATAAAGGACCCAAAGGACTCACTTTTTTTTTTTTCTTCTCTGTAGCCCCAGCTAGCCTGGAACTTGCTAGATAGACCAGGCTGGCCTCGCAGAGATCCACCTACCTCTACTTCCCGAGTGCTGGGATTGAGGCTTGTGCTACCCTGCCTGGCAGGACTCACATTTTTATAGTACACTTATAAAATGAAAAATAAAATCAACTTCATTATTTATAAACAATACTCTATACATTCCAATTCCAATTTATATTACTACATCAAACTTTTAACTATTTTGGTAATCATTTGGCACTATGCTCTCATGGGAAAATTGTTAAAAATTTCAATCTATAAAAATGTTCAAAGCCGGGCATGGTGGCATATGCCTTTAATCATAGCACTTAGGAGGCAGAGGCATGCGGATCTCTGTGAGTTCAAGGCCAGCCTGTTCTACATAGCAAGTTCTAGGCCAGGAAGGGCTACAGGGAGACTCTGTCTCAAATAGACAAAAAAAAAAAAAAAAGTATTCAAGTCAGCCAGCTTCCTGAAAGAATCAAATCCTAGGCTGACTAACCAATGAAGGATGTGATGTCAGCCATCTGCTTACCTTTAGGAATGTTGCTCTGAGTTTGGTAACCATGGAGGGGTTAACCCTTATGCTTTCTTGCATGATGGATGTAAAACTGTAAAGAGAGACACACGGTAAGATGTTCCTAGTGGCCTTCAACAGAGGCAAGCATCAATCTGTCCACAGTACCTGTCAATTAACTGCCAGGCAAAAGAAAGGTCCCCGACGATTTGCATTGTGATCAGGACCTCCTCCTTAATGTTAATGGTTCTGATCATCTGATGGAGAAACTTGCGGGTGTCAGCAAGAAACTGGCACACTTGCAGATTTGATTCCAGCTGGTGAAACTCCTGAACCTGTGTAATGTAAATTGATTTAACTTAAATATTCTCAACGGCTTTGTTGGTGCATCTTTTTTTCCTTGAAAACACTTCAATTACTTAACCAATTTTTTTTATTTATTATTTTTATTTTACATGTCTGAGTGTATTGCCTGCATGTATGTGAGTGCACCTGTGTTCTGCAATGCCGTGGAGGTCAGAAGAGGGCATCGGCGTCCCCTGGAACTGAAGTTAAGGATAGTTTGTAGCTGCCATGTGGGTGCTGGGAATCGAACCCGGGTCCTCTGCAAGAGCAGTCAGTGTACTTAACTGCTGAGTCATCTCTCCAGCCCACTTAACCAAATTTTTTATACTTCAAATTAAGTTTTGGAAATAGAGAAGTCAAGTTATAAGAAAGTACACTCGTATCTAGAATTAAAAAATGCTCCACTCTTACGATACTGTACACAGAGGACAAGTCAATAGGCTCATCTTCCATTTTGGAATAAAGAGATATTGGCAAATCTTAATTCTGAGGTTGTGCACACTGCTAAAAATGTAATGAGTTACATCATAACCAATGTGCTGTAGTAGCACATTATTAGGCTCCTGTGACATTCTCTTTAAATGAAAATGATTCCATAATGTCCTCAAATTTTCCTGTATAACTCAAGAGGCTATTTTGGCTATTCACCAAAATAAATAAGGCAGAAAGTTTTTAAATTGAGATTTATAAAGCTGTTTATAGTTTGGTACAGACTAGGAAAATATCCCAACTAAATAAAATAGAAACAAGTTTGCCAGTGTCCTGGAATGAGAAATTTTGGTATGTTAACCAGGTACTATTAAATCACGTTACTATTACAGTGACCATTCTAAAAATCTCAAAGAAATAAGGAAAAACTTTTTAAGAGTTTGCCAAAAATATTATGTTAATATGAAAACATTAACTATACATCGAAAAATGTGCAATTACACCAATAGGCTAGAGGTGCAGCTTATGAATGGGGTTGACATTTTAATTACAAAATTCATGGTATTGCTCTGAAATTATAGTTCCCATTTTAAACCTACTTGAACAGTTGACTAAAAACTGAAGAGTGGTGAAGTAGGATCACTGCCTTGGGTGTCATCATTTTTGAGTACATAAAAAACATTAAATGATGTTTTCAGAAAAGAAAATAAGTCACATATAAGAATATCATTACATTAGGCAGGTTCTGAAGCCCCAGGCTCCAGCTGGCAGGGGTGGCCAGGATTTGCAGAGGTACAGATTTGGGAAGTTCTCAAGACTAATTTTTTCGTGAACTCATAAAACAGGTCCAGGTGGAGGAATAAGGATACCACCTGCAGCCTGAAACTACACAGAGCCTGCCATCACTGACTTAAGGTTCAAGTTTACATTCTACATGGTCTGAAAAACTAGAAGCCAAGGAATTAACACAAGGTTGGCCCAGAAGATCTGTTTAAAATGTGGTGGTATCAGCAAGGCCTCAGTTTCCTTCCATCAGCCTTTGTAATCTGCTACGTGCTGCCCTCATATTTTCATACATTACTGTGATAACACTCCACTGTGTTGACCCTGCATTGCCTTGTATCAGTGACATGGGTACAGTAGTTCCAGAAAGATGTTTAATATCACTGTAGTTTTATGGTTATGAGTTTCACATGGTTACTACGGCATCAGAATGGTCCATGTCATTTTCCTTTGTTGGATTTGTCCTCACTTATAGCTGTGATTTTCAGAAAATTTCTTTAGGGTAGAAGCTAAATTGCATGGATTAATCCTCTATGACACCCTCTATGACACCGTTCCTAGTTTTTTTCCCCTAAGGCACATACTTTAAAACAGAAAAGATGGCATAGACAATTTTTTTCTTTTACAGCTTATCACAATTTCCCCAATTTTCATAATTCTGTTTCTAAGACTACATGTTTGTTCAAGTTCAAATATTATGACTGTTGCTACAACTCAAGCACTCTAGTCACTTAATTATTACTCTAATTTTAGGGCATTGTATAAAGTGTTACAGGGTTTGTTTCTAGTGAAATATTCTGTTAGACATAATTTTATGAGCAAAGAATTAAGTGGATCATAAAGTGTGATTTCTGACCTGAGAACTATAGTTTAAAGATTTATTTATCATTTTCAATTATGGATATGTATGTGTATGTCTGTGTGTGGGTATGTGCACTTGAGTGCAGGTGCCCACGGAGAACAAAGGGATTGGATCCCCTGGAGCCGGAGTTACAGGTGGTTGTGAGCAGTCTGATATGAGTGTGGGGAACTGAACTCTGGTTCTCTGGAGAGCATTATGTGTTCTTAAGGCTGAGCTATCTCCAAGGCCCAAGAGCTATAGTTTAAAACAACTTTCCTTACCTCCTCCAAAGCTTGTATTAGTTGTACAGTTTTTCTGCCTGCAGCAGTAGAATCATCATAATTTAAAGACAGTATTTGTCTTGAGATCTCTCTGAACCAAGCTTGAAGGTTTTCTATTAATATAGAAACAAGGAAAGACTATTGAAATCCAAAATTCCTATGGTTTTGAATTTAACTAATCTTTGACAAATTTAGCTCTCACAGCATTTTTTACTATATGTTTAACATCACTCCCAGCCACTCTCCAAACACCACCAGCAACAACAATGTGCACGTGTGTGCCCTCATCAAGCCATCACAATGCTTTCTGAGACAGATTCTCTCACTGGGACCTGGGGGGCACTGATCAGGCTGACTAGCCAGTGGGCCTCAGGGGTCTTCCTTTCCCCTCCTCTGCAGCACTAGGGTTACAGGTATGAGTCACGACACATGGCTTTTTCTGTGGGTGCTGGGAATAGAACTCAGGTACTCATGTTTGTATGACAAGCATTTTACTGAAAGAAGTATCTCTTGCTCTCCCACCCCAAATACATTTTTAAAAATTTTAGTATATATATATACATGGCTAAAGGTGCTTATCACCACAGGGTTATATGGATCAAATGAGAAAAAAAAATTATGAAAATACTTCTTAGACTGAAAGAAACAAGATAGCCAGAAAAAAAGGTGAAATAGTCTCAGGTGGATAACCTCTGAATAATTGAATAATTCTGGTATTACAGAAAGTTCCCATTTTGTTTTGAAGTCACACTTGCAAACATACTGAAAATACCACAGCATTACAAACGGGATAATTTTTTCTAAGAGGAATTATAGTTTAGATCAACTAAATGGCATCGAATAAATCACCAAAGCTAAACTACAAGCTCTAATTAATAAAATTAGGTTTAAAAAAATACTTTATTGTTTTTATTTTATGTGTATGAGTGTAATGCCTGCATGTGTTAAGTGCACCCAGGTTGCACAATGCCCTTGGAGGTCAGAAGGCATTGGATCCCCTGGAACTGGAGTATGGATGGTTGTTAGCCACCATGTGGGTGCTGGGAATTGAACCCGAGTCCTTTGCAAGAGCAGTTAGTGCTCTTAACTGCTGAGCCATCTCTCCAGTGCATCTTATTTGTTTTATAAAAATCTATACTATGAAATAATTTTTTGGTAAAATTAACTGTACTGAAAACAAATGAGCTAGCTAAGATAAACAAGGAGTGGTTAAGAGCTCTTACTACTCTTCCAGAGGGCCTGGGTTTGGTTCTAACCCATGGTAGCTAAGAACTGTCTGTAACTCCAGTTCTAGGGGATTCTAGGCCCTTTTCTGGCCTCGTTGTCCACTGCACACACATGATGCACTTACATACATGTAAGCAAAACACTCATACACCTAAACTAAAAATAAAGAAATCAGGAGCTGGAGAGACAGCTCAGCAGTTAAGAGCACTGGCTGTTCCTACAGAGGACCCAGCACCCACATGGCAGCTAACAACCATCCTTAACTCCATCTCTAGGAGATTTGATGTTCTCTTCTGACCTCTGTGGGCATTGTATGACATGGGTGCTCTTGCATACATGCAGGGAATGCACTCATACACATAAAATAAAAATAACAAATAAATATTAAAAATAGGGGCTGTGTCTTTGCTCTGGAAATGGTTATTGGGCATGTTAAAGCTGTAATGATATGCTTCTTCTAAGAAAAATAAAAAATATTTAAAAAATGTAGGAAACAGCACATCTTGAAATGGAGATCTTCTTTAAAGGGCAAAACCTCATTCAATTTTAGATCTTACAGGGTTTATACTGAGTTCAATATGGTATAACTGTATTAATTCAACTGTGAACCTAAAAATTTACAGCCACTTTTGAAAGAGATGTATCCTTGCTCTGGAATGTGTTACTGAATATGTTAAAGCTGTAATGAAATTGCTATACATGCCAAAAAAATCAACAAATTAAAGAAAAAGACATATTTGAGGAGGGAGCATAAAAATTTACTTCATATTAATTAGTAGAGGTGAAAACATTACCATTGAAATCTACTTGATGACTTTATATCCATGCTCAGATGCCAAGGAGCTCAGAAAGCAGCCGACTGTAACTAATAATAATCAGATATATAGAGATTAGAAACACATGTGCAAACATCTTAGCATCAACTGCATTAAAAATGAATTTTTCTGTATGAAACTGCATTTTAATGATGAAATGGAGATCTTTTTTAAAGGTTAAAACCTCATTTAATTTTCTGTCTTATAAAGTTTATACAGAGTACAATATTGTATAACTGTATTAATTCAACTGTAAACCTAAAACTTCTAATTATGTGGTTATTAAATAAATAATTTAAAAAATATAAAAAAAATTCTTGAATAAAATCAGAAAAGAAAAAACCCAACAAATAAATATTAAAAATAAAATAGAAATAAAATTAAAAAATAGAAATAAAAAAGGATAAAAAAATAGTTTGTCATCTTAAAATTCAGAATATTTTTTAAAAATTTCTATTTTATGTGTGGTTGCCTGCATGTATGTTGCGTGCCTGGTGCCTGTGGAGGCCAGAAGAAGGCGTCAGATCCCTTGGAATTGGAGTTACAGATGGCTGTGAGCTTCTATGTGGGTCCCAAGAACCCAACCCTGGTCCTCTGTAAGAGCAGTAAGCACTCTTAACCACTAAGCCATCTCTCCACCCTAGGAGAAAAAGAAGTGATACCACAATTTTCCTATAGATAAATTTAAAAAAAAAATGGCTAAAAGTCATTAATACTTTCAAAAACAGTAGGTGGGTGGGTTTCCACTTCTGCCGCTGGATGGCAGGTACTTGGGGATAACAGCAGTATCAGCAGACAAGAGTCTTAGATATGATCTAGGTCAACAGTTATCAGTAACTTCAGGTGACGTGTACGTCTGGAAGATCATAAGACCTACGTGGCCTTCCTCTCCTTTCCCCAAATGCTCATAAATATACTCATGAGTTTTTACACACTACTGGGGTAGGGGCAGATTATGACTCTAAATCCTGTCGATTAACCAGTTATAGGAATCCCTGGTTGAGCCTAAATTCATACTTCAAAGATAAACTACAGAAGGTGAAGTCTAGAGATGAATAGTGCCCATAGAGTACGATCTACAGGCAACACAAGCTAAATGCAGATCCTGTGCGTACAGCCACAACCAGAGCATGCAACAAGGAAAACAAGGACTTTCTCATTCCACGAGTATGAGGGTAAGCCTTCATCATCAGCTCGATTGGCTTTAGAATCACCGAGGAGATACACTTTTGGGCACATGTGTGAGGACATTTCCAGAGAGTGCAGGCAGTGCCACCTCATGGGCTGGGGTCTCTGACTAAGAAGGAGAAAGCAAGTGGAGCAAGCAGGCCTCATGCTCAGCTTGACTGGAGATGCAATGTGACCAGCTGCCGCATGCTCCTGCCGCCGCCTCTGCTCTCCCATGGTAGACTACACCCTCAAACCCTGAGCCCAAATAAACCCACTTTCCTTAAGTTGCTTCTGCTGGGTATGTTGTCACAGCAACGAGACAAGCAACAACCAGTTTCTAAGGTTTCAATAATCTGAACATATTTCTCAAACACACCAATACTTCCTCTTTAGCAATTACCATTTTTCTCCACCCGGGTTAGTGGTTTCACCCCTGAAAACACATCAGCAAGCTCGGTCATCCGCTCGGAGCCCTCCTTCTTGTAGTGCTCCCACTTGGCCTGCTTCTCTGAAAGCATTTGCTTGAACATCTGTTGAAGAGATTGGAGAGATTTACTTACTTCAGAAAAACCCTACATCAGACGGTTTACAAAGAGACCCTGAATGAATCCCAATCTACTTTAAGAAATACATATCAGAGGGCTGGGGAGATGGCCCAGTGGATAAGGGGCTTGCTGTGCAAGTGTAAGGACTAGAGTTCAGACTCCCCAGAACCCACATAAAAGTCAGGCAGACACGGTGGCTCCTTTTAATCTGAGCACTGGGGAGGAGGCAGATACAGGAGATCCCCACAGAAAACTGGTTAGACTAGCCTGTTCTGGGTTCAGTGAGAGACCATGCTTCAATAAACAAAGTGGAGAGTCCTCTAGAAGGCACTCAAAATCAACTTTGGGCCCACATACACACATGCACCCACATGAGAACATGTGTATACCCCCCGCCCCAAGTAGTACACATACACACAGGTATGCACACATGCACATATACACAGAAATAAAAATGAAATCATCACTGACCCTGAAGCCACCTCTTAAGCATTGCTACATTCTAAAAATATGCTGAATGAGATAATACCATTTTTGTTCTTGGTGTTTTTAATTTTTGCTATAAACTTTCTAACAAAATTTAAAACAACCAACAAGGTAAGCTAGACATTTAAAAAAATTATTATTTTTATTTTATGTGTATGCGTGTATTGCCTGTTTGTAGGTAAGTGCACCCAAGTTGTGCAATGCCCGCGAAGATCAGAAGCTGTCAGATCCCCTGGGACTGGAGTTACAGACAGTTGTTAGCTGCCATGTGGGTACAGGGATTCGAACCCAGGTCTTCTGCAATTACAGTCAGTGTTCTTAACTGCTGAGCCATCTCTTCAGCCCCAAGCTAAACATTTTTAAGGCAGTGGCTCTTACTGCACATGTGGTGGTTTCAATGAATGTTCCCATAGGCTCCAAATACTTAAACACTTGGTTGCTGATTGGTGGTGCTTTCTGGGGTCATGGAACCTTTATGAGGTGTGGCCATGCTAGAGGAAGTACGTCAGTGGGGATGGCTTTTAGCCTTGTGCAATTCCAGTTTGATTCTGCTTCCTGTACCTGTCTGAAGATGTGAGCCCTCATCTTCTGCTTCATCTACTTCTGCCACCATGCCTCCCAATGGACTCTTATCTCTCTGGAACTGTTAGTCAAATAAATGACCTCCTCCTTCTATAAGTTGCCTTGGTCATGGTGTTTTATTACAGCAACAGAAAAGTAACTAGTATAGCACAGAAGCATAACCTGGAGCACTTGGAAGTTTTCAAGTTCCCAAGTCCCAGCCCTGAAGATTTGATTTAGAAAGTCTTGGGGTAGGCCCAGGAATCTGCACTTGAATGTGAAATTAAATTTGTGATCACTGCTCTATGGTCCTTTTTAGTGAACAATTCGTTTGATTCCAACATAATCAGTCATGGAAGCTTTAAGGATTATCTTGTCAGATGACAGGGTAATGAACTAAGTAACATATACCACTCTTTCTTGTTAGATGGCAATTCTGTTTATTCTCTCCATAAAATTTAAGCCTATGAAGACTTGGCCAGAGGAGAAAATGTATAACTCACCCCATCACCAGAAATGAGTATGAAAAACACACAGGTATCTATGAAAGGACATGCTCTATCAGACAGGATTTACTTCACTGGGCTCTGTTGAAATAGCTATGCACAAATACCAATTTTTCTTTGAAAATATTCTTCAGGAGTCAGCATCATAGTGAAATTGAAAAGAGGAACAGTGTACTGGGAGACTCCATTTGCAGGTAAAAGGATCAAGGGTAAGTGGGATTTGTGGGGTCTGTGGGGAGAAATCTTATCAACCCAGGAGGAATGATTAATCAATAAAATGATAGATAAAAGGAGGAGGAACGCTGAGAATTACTTACAGAATCTATCTGACTTTCTGAGGGCCTGGAATCAAACAGTGTCATCTGACAATGGCAAAGCAACTACATAAAATCACGTGGTGCCTTTAATATGGAACAGCTTAGGTCTCTCTGACACTGTTCACTGAACTCACAGGTTTCCTATCTTCTAAAACAGAATTTGATTAAAGGTGGCGCACACCTTTAATCCCAGCACTCTTGGGAGGTAGAGACAGGCAGATCTCTGTGAGTTCAAGGCAAGGCTGTTCTACATAGTGAGTTCCAGGACAGCTGGGGCTACAGGGAGACCCTGTCTCAAAAAGACCGAAAAACAAAACAAAACAAAAAACCGAGAATTTTGGATGGTGGATGGTCATTGCATCATCATCATCATCATCATCATCATCATCATCATCATCATCATCATTATTTTACCCCTGTTTGACTCTAGCCCACATACTTATACCAGACTACAAGGCTATGAGGCCAGCTTCAGCATGCTCTTCCTCCCTTATGGCCACCAAGACCAGTGTTGAGATCCAATGGGAAAGGGAACTGGAGGGTGCATTAATTTTTTTAAAAACAATTTTTTAAATAATTACTGTGCATGTATGAGAGGGTGGGCAAACATGCTATGGTGCATGTGGAGGCCAGGGGACAGTTTTTGGGAGTTGGTTCTCTACTTCTACTGTGTTCTGGGACTAAGCTCAGGTGGTCAGGTTTGTGTAGCAAGTACTTTTACTAGCTAAGCCATCTGATGGTCCCCTGCCATTGAATTAGAAAATTTGTTATCTTACAAAGATGAAAAGAAACACAAGTCCAACTTCTGTATTTTTCAAGAGAGTCACGAAATAATAGTAGGTCATGTTAGAGTAGGAGGTAGTCTCACTAGCCAGCTTGTTCTGGGGATCCTGCCTCCATCTTACAAAGCTGGAATCACAGACAGGCTACTGTGCCCACTTAGCATTTACGTGGGTTCTGGGAATCCAAACTCCAGTCCTAACACTTACTCAGCAAGTCCTTAACTTCAGAGCCACCTTCCAATCCCCAAATCTCAGTTTCCATGTACACTTTCCTAAGTGTGATTCTGATTAATGTCTGGATTCTCATTAGACTAGTCTCTACAATCTTGTATATGTCCCCACTGCTGCACCCTCAATGGCAGGAGGCTCTGTATGCCTATTAAATGTTAATTCTGTCCTTTTTCTATAAAAACTATCTTAGACAGACAAAATCTATAGCTTGCATCAGAGACACAACTAAATCAAAATCTTTTCTGAATTTTTTTTTTTTTGGTCTTTTTGAGACAGGGTCTCCCTGTAGCCCCAGCTGTCCTGGAACCTGGAACTCCCTATTTAGACCCAGCTGCCCTTGAACTCACAGGGATTCCCCTGCCTCTGCCTCCCTCCCTAGTGCTGGGATTAAAGGCGTGTGCCACCACGCCCGCCCGGCTAGAGTTCTAATTTTGTCCTGGAACTCACTATGTAGACCAGGCTGGCCTTGAACTCATAGAGATCTGCCTGCCTTTGCCTCCAAGTGCTGAGATTAAAGGCATGCGCCACCACTGAAAAATATTTTTAAACATAAAAAACTACAAAGACTCTGGTTAATTCAATATTTTTACCTCTTTGAGTATAAACTCAAATTGTGCAGTATCCAAGAGCAACTGGAAGAGGATCTTGGGATTGTACCTAGAGTCTGTCAGAATCTGGTCCTTGATTTGACGAAGGCGTTTGTTATTTGGATCACAGGCTAGAAACAGGAAGAAAAGTTACCCACTCATTAAGCATATAGAAAACACCAAGAAATAAGTATCTCCCTTCATTTCAAGTATTAAAATTAAGCAAAACATTTACCAATAGCAGGTTGAGAAACGGTATATATATGCTATGGAGTACAGCTGAACTATTAAGTGACAACTGAACTACTAATAATGACAGGGAATATCATTCCTTGATACATTGCTGAATGAAAAAGACAAGCTGAAGGGGTTGAGAGATGGCTCAGTGGTTAAGAGCATGCATGGGCTGCTCTTCCTGAGTACCCAGGTTTGGTTCCCAGCACCCATATGGCAGCTAAAAATCACCTATAACTCCAGTTATAGGGGATCTGACCTCCATGGGCATTGCACAGCACAGGTGCACTTACATGCATGCAAGCAATACATTCATACACATAAAATAAAAATAATAAGAATAAAACATTTTTAAAAGTTCTCAGATGACAAATGGCTGAGGTCCCTGGTACTTTATGACAGGAATAGCCCTGCTGGCTTAGCCTGCCTCCAAGAGTAGTCTGGAATGCCCAGCAGGTACAATCAGATGCCATGGGGTGCTTTTGGTACGTCAATTGTGGCGAAGCCTGCAGAAGGCCATTTTGCATAATGACTTTTATGCTCCTCCATCAGGAGAGACGCCTGACACCTGCAGAAAGGGCTCAGCTTCCTAGGGAGACAACAGAGCTCTCATTTCTCACACATTCTCTAGAACCACCCAGGAGGAAATGCACTGAAAATGACACATTACACAGAGGACTCCTTAACCTCAGGAGTTCTATCTATCTTTTTTTTTTTTAGATAGAGTCTCAGATTATCTCAGGTTGGCCTTGTACTGGCTATGTATCTGAGGATGATCTTGGACTTCTGATGTGTCAACAATGTCCAATTTTATACTGTTCTTCAGATTAAACCCAGGGTTTTGTGCATGCTAGACAAGCACTCTACCACACAGGGGACATCCCTAGCTTCTCTACTTGTCTTGATATTAATTCTAGCTGAACAAGAGACCTGACATCAGTTTGCTTCACTTTTGATTGGGGACTGTAATCAAGGTGATGGACAAATACTCTGCATGCTTCTACATACCTTAACATTTGGATCCTTGGTAGAAATAAGGGTCCATTCCAAAGTGTTCCTGGGCTTCCTGCTCTGATCTGATCCTACACAATTCAGACCCAAAAAAGTACAGGAATTGATCCTAGAACCAAGTAGTCTCCTGGTCAGGCTTCTGCAGCCAGCCAGCCTTGTTCATCAAATGTTGCCAGGGAGTGTTCCTCATCAGCCACAAGACAAAGTGGGAGCAGCCCCTGCCTTTGCCTATGGGAAAGGCCTCCAGGGGGCCAACAGGAACATATGCATGCCACGACTGCAGCACCACCAAGGCTAAATAAGCAGTGTTTTCCCCGTGTGTAACTCACAGGCAGATAGGCAAATCCTATCCTTGTGCAATCAGGCTAGACATTTGCAAAGCACAAAAATGGAAAACAGATGGGACTAAAGATAAAGACTCAGACTTCTGGCATACTGAGTTTGCCCCTGGTTTGGGTGTAAATTCAAGACACTACTGGCTTCCAGGACACATGCCTGACTGTCAGGTAGAGTTGCATAAAGGAGGAAATTGAGACTGAGTCACTAGATTACAGCTGGTTTTGTGATAGGCTAAAGTGAGGGCCTGAACTATTTATAAGCTTTTGGTAGATCAGATTATAAGCTCAATCAATAGAATAAAATCCTGAAACCAGAACTAGAGTTCATGTAAAAGAGAAACTAAGCTAATTAAAAGCAGATCAATGGGGCTGGAGAGATAGTTCAGTGATTCCTCCTCTTCCAGAGGACCCAAGTTCTGTTCCCTGTATCCATGTCAGGAAGTTCACAACAGCTTCTAACTGCAGTTCTAGGGGATCCAATGTGTGACATGCACAAACACAGACACATGCACATGAATAAAAATAAAAAATCTTAAAAGCAGATCAATTAGATGATTAAAAACTTCAGCTTCATACTGTGGGCAAAGCACAGACCTACATTAAGGAGCAAAATGATGAGAAAAACTGGCAAGCAGCACATGTGAAAAACATTTAAGAAGCTGGAGAGAGGACTGAGAAGAAATTTCACATTTCCAAAAACTTAAAGGGTAAGGAAGTCCCACTGCGAATGGTTCCCAGGAAAACAGAAGCGTATGGTAGCAGAGGGGCTCAGCATCTGGACTGTAGTGGTGGTGAGGCTGTGCTCCCTTATCACAGAGTGGCTACACAGTGATGTGGTGTGGACCTTAGTTTAGGACAGTGTTAGCTGAAAGAACACAAAGTGAAGTAGTGCTTGCCTCAGGGTAGGACCTCAAGAAAAGCTAGTTGCATCAAAGATTTTCCAGTGGAGGGCTCAGCCTGCATGGTGATGCGCCTATAATCCTAGCACCCAGGAAGCTGATGCAAGATCACCAGAGGTTCAAGGCTAGCCTGGTCTACATAGCAGTTCTAGGCCAGTCAGGGCTACATGGAAAGACCTTGCCTCAAAAAACAAAAAACAAAACCCCCAATCCAAACCAAAGCAACCCAAACCAGCAGTGCATTTCACAGGGTTTCTGAACCCGTCTTAGGGGCAGCAGTACACAGCTCTGGGTGAGTCGAGTGCTCTTCTTTGGTCTCACACCATATCCCTTTCATGTCACACACCGAGCTCTTATTTGCTACCTGGGACCTTGTGTTAGTTTTCTGTAGCTGCTCTAATAAGTTACCACAAATAGCTTAAAACAACACATTTAGTTTTTTCACATTTTAGAGTTGCAAAATGTGAAACAGGGCCCACTGAACTAAAATCAAGATGTCAGTCAAGAGCTGGCAAGATGGCTCAGCAGGTAAAAGCCATGTTGCCATGCCTTACAATCTAAGTTTGATTTCCCAGGTCATAAATGGTGGAAGGAGAGAACTGATATCTCAAAGTTGTCCTCTGACCTCCACATGCATGCCATAGCACATACAAGCACCCCACTCCTACATGTAATAATTAAAAAAAACCCCAAAACAACAGATGTCAGAAGTGGAAATGATGGCACATGCTTTAATCCCAGGACTCAGGAGGCAGAGGCAGGTAGATCTCTGAGCTTAAGGCCAGTCTGTCTACATAGCTGAGTTCCAGGCTAGCCAGGGATACATAGTGAGACCGTTTCCAAAAACAAAAAAGAAAAAAAAAATGTCAGCAAAGCAGGACTCTTCCTAGAAGCACTAGCAGTGTGTCTCCCTGTGGTCTGCAGGTCACAAGTATCTCAAGATGGCATGAATGTGGCCCAATACACATTTATAGATGGCAGCTTCATATCACAGTCAAAAGGTTGGGCACCCATAAACTAGGAGAAAACCCCACTGTTTTTCAGTCTTTAATGGCTGACTGCATTCCTTGGCTTCGGCCTTTTCCATCTTTAATGCCAACATTGGCTGGTCAAATAATTTTCCAGAATCCAGTTTTCTGGTTAGGATTTGCCTGCCTCCCACTTCCTGGTTTACAACTCTGATCACACAGGGTCTACTGAGATAATCTAACTTACTCTCCTGACTTTAAGATCAGCCGATTAGCAATCTCTCCGTTCTTTTGCCATGTGCCAAGTAACATATGATCAGGTTTCAGGGAAGAGAGCAAGGACATCTTTGGAGGTGGGTGGGTAGGGGCACTCTTCTACCTATCACAGATGTGTAGTTATCCCTTTTCATATGTATACAACTGATCGCCCCAGTCTGATCAGTGACAAGCAAAAGTCCTTATATTGTCCAGCACCTACCAGGTGACATCTGTTCAGGAGAGCCACTGACCTACCCAAATTGACACAAAAATAACTAACTTAAATCAACTTAATTTTCATCATGGGCTCACTTACTGCTAAATCACTGTGTGTGGTAAAGTAGATCTTAACTCTGGGGAGATTTATGTGGAGCAGTATAAGTGGCCCCTACTTTTGTGTATTACCTGAGTCAGCTGTGTGAAGCATCAGCCAGCGGATGGCGACATTGCAGTCTCTCAGGCAGTTCAGCAACCTTGGGATGTTGTCAAGAACCAGCTCCTCCCTCAAGCAGCCTTCTTTCAGAAACTGCTGCACCTGAGTGTGCACTCTTTCACTGACACTAGCGTATCTGCTTGCCTTTGGACACCAAACAACAAGCAAACTAGAATTACATGGAAAACTACCTTGAAAAACAAATCAATCCCCTGAACAGTAGTAATAGCTTTCCTTCCTCTACCCATTCATCCACTCATCCCTCTCTCCCTCCATCCTCCTTCCCTCTTTAATAGTATTTCTATATGAGAGGATCTGTGGATTATAGTTACAGAGCCAACAGCAACTGGTTCATTGGACATTTTTAAAAAAATTTTATTTAGTATTTTTACTTTATGTGTACGAGTGTATTGCCTGCATGTAGATAGGTGCACTGGTGTTGTACAGTGCCTGCAGAGGTTAGAAGAGGGCACTGGAACCCCTGGAACTAGAGTCATGGATGTTAGCCACCATGTGGGTGCTGGGAATTGAACCTCGGTCCTCTCAAAGAGCAGCCATGACAGTGCTTTTAACTACTGAATCATCTCTTCAGTCCCTCATTGGATATTTTTTAAAGGAATATTGTACTTAGAATTCTGAGACTCAATCCTAGTTTGGGTTGTGACTAAACATTGACAGGTTTAGCCTCTTGCATTATTGGTTTCTTCAAATATCAAGTGGAGAACCGGGCTGGGTGGTTCTCAGATTCCTTGTTTCTTAATTTGGATGGAAAAGCAGCACAAAACTAGAAGCTCAACTGCTTGCTCTTCCTGTTGTGGCTGAAAAACGGTACAGAGCAGACATACTCAAAATGGGTCTTGTATGTAGCTCTGGCTGACCTGGTGTTTGTTATGTAGCCCAGGCTGGCCTTGAACTCACAGCAATCCTGCCTCAGTCTCTTGAGTGCTGGGATTACAGGCAGACACCAACACATCCAGCAGGCAAATGAAGCTTAATAAAAAAACAGATCTTAGGATGCCAAAATTGTGACTTTTCTAATCGGCCTTTTACAATACTGGTCATTTGGTTTTACTAAAGCAAGGGTCAAACGTTAATACTTGCTAAGTTAGTTTAAAACTAGTCAAGAAACTTCTTAAAATGCCACAAATGAGAAAATGGAAATTTGGAAAGGAACTTGAGCAATGAAAAATTAATGTGGTGACATTAGTAAGCCTGGAATGCCATTTTCTTTAATATGCTTCTAGGAGAGAAGCCAACATCGAAATTATTTTGTGCACTGTTTATGGAACTCAATCTATTTGAATAAAACATGACAGGTTTTGGAGCCAATATTGTTCTATCTACATTGGAAACTTTATAATCCAGACAGCCAAGACAAGGACTCTAACCATTAAGAAATATTAAATGTGTGCACTGGATAAAGGTCTTTTATTCCTGTCTACTCAGCTACTTTCTTCTGCCTAGTGTTCTTTTTAAAAATTTTTTTGATTTATTTGTATTTTGTGTATATGATTGTCTGCATGTAAGTACACCATGTGTGTGTATTGCCATGGAGACCAGAAAACAGTGTCAGATTCCCTGGAACTAGAGTTGCAGATGATGGTCAGCTGTCACGTGAGTGTTGGGAACCAAACCTGGGTCCTCTGCAGGAGCAGCCAGTGCTCTTAACCACTGAGCCATCCTCCAGCCCTATACCTAGTGTTCTTATTAAAGAAGCAGATATAGCCCTGTAACTTAAACAAACAGAAGGGATGATTTAAATTATAGTAACAGAATATTATCCACATTCAGCTACCAGCTCAGCATTCATCCGACTGCTAAACATCAATCCTGGCAACAGATGACGTCAGCTTTGTTCACAGAACATGGTCTTTACACAAAAAGAAACAAAGTCAACTATGCCCCTGTCACACTGATGCATTCTAGGTACTGAATCTGCCTTAGGACCCAGGTCTCCAATTTCCCCTAGTACATCAGTTTAAAAATCCATCATTATCTATGCAAGTCTACTGTACCTTCTACTTAGGTATCAAGATGTCTATGTAGACATTTTCCAAGTTCCTTAGCTCATTTCCTACTTCACAAATCAGACTTGCTGTGCCTAGAGGATTCTTCCTGGTTAGCAGGAACCTACCTGTTCTTTGACATTTGAGAGGTCCAGGGTATTGTTTAAAGCAGTCTTTGCAGCTTTGTAAGGCTCCCATGCATCAGCTAGATTAACTGTGATCCCCATATAAATACTGATTACCTGAAAAAGGAGACATTCACTCAGTATTTGCCCAAACATCTACTGGCGTCAAGGCAAGGGGTTGGGAAAATATTAAGGTCTATACAATCCTGACTGTTCTTTCCAGTTTAAAGGCTTACCAGTGAAAACCCGGGGTTTTCCAACTACACAGTTAAGGACTCTTCCTTGTGAGCACTTTGGAACAAGAGGGACGAGTCTGCTACTCATGGAAAGGGAGCTGAAATAAGGGTTTTCTTTTCAACTGAGGTGGATTAAGATTTTTGGATAAAGAAAAATAAAAGGGAAGAGAAAAACACTGACTAGGACAAGAGGTTTTCTTTAGTATTTTTATGCTCTAAAGTCTCAGAGTGTGCCTTTAATCACAATACTTGGGAAGCAGAGGCAGGCAGATCTCTGTGAGTTCAAGGTTAGTCTGGTCTACATAGCAGTTCTAGGCTGTAAGGGCTGCAGAGTAAAACCCTGTCTCAAAATAAAAAAATTGTAAAAAAGTCACTGAGTGGGGCTGACAAAATGGATCATCACGTACAGGTGCTTATAGTGCCTGAGTTTGAATAGAAGAGTTTTATTTTGTTTTTGATTTTTTGAGACAGAGGTCATGTAGCCTAGTCTGGCCTTGAACTCACCATGTAGCTGAGAATAACTCTGAACTCTGATCCTTCTGCTGCTACTTCCCAAGGGCTTGGATTACAGGTATGCATCACTCTATCTGGACTCTAGAATGCTAGTTCTGCTGCAAATTTTTTATTGAAGAATGTGTGTGTGTTGGGGGGGGGGAAATACTTGCCCAATTATCTGGAAAATATTTATCCACAATCTCTCTCATTTTTGCTTGGTGGGTGTGAAGAATGGAAGGTTCAAAATAGAGAGTCACGTAGAGCATGGCAGCCTGATTGGCCAGGGCAGTGCTACGATGCTCCGGCAGAGGGTAGGCAGAGACCTGCAAAACAACAGCCCAGAGAGGGAATTGCTGAAGAGCTGGCGTTCAGCTTCTAAAATCTCATCACCTCTCAGGATCCTGGACCCTTGAAGCAATTTTCAAGTTGTGGAATTATAACCAAGGTCTTCCTTATCTTGAGACCCCATAACATTCTCTTCATTTTCAGCATGACTCTTGCTACAATTGTTTCTTACAAAGAGAAAAAAAGGCTTAACCCTGCATCCCCTGCTCCCGCTTATCACCAATTTCTGTCCTTCCTATCACAAACAATCCCCTGTAACTAACTGAGAGACTCCAATTTTGTGCTGTAATTTTACCACTTCCTATTTGCTCAGCAACTCACTTAAATTTGACCTCATCCATCATCCCAATGGAATTTCTTTTTTTTCCTTTTAAAAATATTTTATTCATTATCTTTATTTTATGTGTTTGAGTGTTATGCCTGCATGTAGGTAGGTAAGTGGACCCGTGTCGTGTAATGCTCATGAAGGACAGAAGAGGCTATCGGATCCCCTGCAACTGGATACAGGCAGTTGTTAGCTGCCATGTGGGTGCTGGGATTTGAACCCGAGTCTTCTGCAAGAACAGTGTTCTTAACCGCTGAGCCATCTCTTCAGCCCCCACCAATGGAATTTCTTAACCCAGTTCAATGGCTGCTTTCTAGAACTCTCTCTTAAATTCATGTAGGAATGGAACTCTCTCCCGAGGTTTCTGATATCATCCTCTGTTCTCACCCTGCTTTGGGGAGTCCTCTTCTTCTGCCTGTTTTTTTTTTGCACACTTGCATTTCCCAGGTATTTATGTCCTTGTGTATTAGGAATCTTTGGTTATAGGGAGTACCTATCACCTTGAGTTATCAAAAGCAGAGATGGGGGAAAATTATCACAAGGATAGACACAGCAAGGAATATGGCCTGGCCATGGGAAGGGCCTGGGGCTGCAAACCAAGATACTTATTTCTTTCCCCTTGACGGGTCTGCCCAACCTTTCTGTCTCTCAAGACTGTTAGCATATCTGGCTGTGTGAGGCTGCCCCCTAAGCTTCAAATTTTGCAGAAATTATTTTATAGGCCCTGTTCCAATTCCTGGAGACAAGAGAATCAGATCCATCAGTCATGAACAGGGCTAGAGGTGGTGCAGATCAGAGTGGGATGGCACAGAGAACAAACACATTTTAAACTCTACGTTAATGGAGGTCATGGGGAGAAAAGAACATTTGTAACACACCGCCTGAAGAGTTGGATCATGGACTGAGTAAAAGGGAGAATGGTGGGATAAGAGGCAGCCAGCAAACATGGACTTCGACTTCATGCAAATCTGAATTCAAATATGGTTCTGCTATTCAGGTGTGTGACCTACAGGAGACTGGTCAAGGTCTCCAAGTCTTATTCTTCTCCATGGAGATAATGTCATCTGCTTTTCAGGATTGTTGTAGGCAATGGAGAAAATGGTATGTGAACAAATCTTCTATGAGGCTGATTTAGACTTAATTTTCAGTGAATGGCAATAAATATTATAAAGTCCTGCTATCTACAGGTAGTTCTGATTTTGAATGCTACAGAACACCTCTAAGTATTTATTATTTGTATTTATAGTACTATAAAACAGGAAAGCGGGAAACATTTTTTAAAGAAAAGTGGAAAGATTTATATGATTTGGAGAGAGCATGGCTATGTTCTTTGGTCTTTTTCTTAGACAGTGAACAATACACACACTGGTGAGGAAAATGAGTCCCCTTTCAGATGCCACAAGATCTTTCCAGCCCTGCCTGTGCAGGATGCCAGCTCTGTCTGGACTGTCCTTCTGTCACTGCTACATGCTTTGGGGCACCCTGGACTTCCTAAAAGATAAAACTCAGCTTACTCTAGGGTCACTCCTAGTGCATGTCTTCTTTCTTAAGCTACAAGTCCACCATGTGTAGGGATCAAAGCCTACCATCTTTGGTGATGAATCCCCAGCACCTAGCACATTAATGAGCATATAATACACATTCAATAACTATTTCTTGAATAAATGACTAAAAGAATTCCCCTTCTTTCCAAATGTTCAAATCTCATCTTCTTCCTGAAGTCTCTGATTCTGCCAAAATATATTCTGATTCTTCAAAATATATTTTTTTAAATATTTCTTTTTTTAGAAGAAGCATTTCATTACAGCTTTAACATACTCAATTAACAGTTTCCAGAGCAAAGCTACATCTCCTTCAAAAGTGGCTATAAAATTTTTAGGTTCACTGTTTTAAAAAAATATTTTATTATTTTTATTTTTTTTGTGTGAGTGTATTGCCTGCATGTATGTGAGTGCACCTGTGTTGTGCAATGCCCGAGGAGGTCAGAAGAGGGTGTCCAATTCCCCTGGAGCTGGAGTTACAGACAGTTGTTAGTTGCCATATGGGTACTAGGAATCGAACCCAGGTCCTCTGCAAGAGCAACCAGTGCTCTTAACCACTGAGTCATCTCTCCAGCCCCTCAAAAGTTTTTAAAAATAGTCTCTAGCTGCTGTTTTGACTCTCTTAGGGAAAGAAGAAAGGAAAGGAATAATTCAGGACAAAAGTGAATTCCAATTCTAATTTTTGAATTAAGGTGCAGATCCCTACCTGGTTGTAAATGTCATCAGATCTCAGCCTCCCAATGACCATGCTGATGAAGGTTTCATTGATAGGCACTCTCTGGAAATAGCTCTCGGGATAGTTGGGAGGTCTTTTGGCTCCTGGCTGGCTAGAATACCCTGTACTTCTCAGCAGCTTACAAATATCATCCATATTTGAATCAGCAGAGGACCGAGCGGCACTGAGTCATATTAGCAGTGGGAAATGAAAGGGTCAAGCAAATCATACGTGTTAGAAACAGAAGTCTAAAAGCAGAGAATTCCATTTAGATATGACTACGAGTCAATTTAGATCCTTACAATTCAAAACTATATATTTGAAAAGCCTGTTTGAAGGACAGCTATCAGTTTTCTTTTTCTTTCTTTCTTTCTTTTTTTCTTTCTTTCTTTTCTTTTCTTTCTTTCTGTCTTTTTTGAGACAGGTGAGACAGGGTCTCCCTGTAGCTCCAGCTGGCCTGGAACTCACTAGGTAAACCAGGCTGGCCTGGAACTCACAGAGATCTGCCTGCCTCTGTCTCCCAAGTGCTTGGAATAAAGGCCTGCGCCACCATGCCTGGCTTCAGTTTTCTATAAAGGTCTACAATCCCTTTCCCCAAATCCCTAGAGCTAGATTTGTTTCATAACACAGCATTTTTCAAATGTAAGAAAGTAATATGTTATTTGGATAATAGACTACAGAATACAACAGTAGGGTTTGAGTTGGCACCTCAAGATGTTAACAGTTACAGAGTACTAAAATTTACCTCATAGAAGTGAGGTAAGTGAAGACTACAGATAGCCTCACATCTGTCCTGAGTAACTTTTGCCTCCAACAGACTTCAGGTTCAGGTGTGACAGCCAAATGAGTATGCATGTGTACCTTTATATGTGTAGGTGTATTAGATGTGTATATAATTAATACATACACACACAGACACACACACACATATTTGGATTATTTGAAACAGAGTCTCATTATGTAGCTCAAGCTGGCTTCAAACACTAGCAATCCCCTTGTATCAGTCTCCCAAGTGTGGGAATTACAGGTGTGCATTAGCACACCTAAAATTGTATATTCATTTTTCAGAGTTCTATGATTTCAAAGTTATGGATAAAGAATGTGAAACTCAATGAACATTTTACAAATTAAAAAAATCTTTTAAAATTATGTTAATGTGGCATTTATGTTACTTAGTTTTTCTTGGGAAGATACAGCGATCTAGTAAAAATATCTGTAATTTTCAGGGTAATGAGCTCTAAAAGAAATGAACTTGACTTAAACTATCTTAGACTTGAGATTTGATGCGAGACTCTCCTTTACCACAATCCTGAGATGCAACTGTTTAGTGTTGCATTAATAATGGGAGCTCACATCCCAATGAATTAGCTATTGTTCCTCAAGGGACAAAGCTGGATTTCTCAAAGCTAAGGTTGACAAGCAATTTTTTTTTTTCTTCCTCACATTTTCTATTGTTTTTGTTTCTCTGGGTACTCTCAGGATATGGGCAAGGCCATTCAAGTTTCTCTTTCACATTTATTCCTTTGCCAAAAGGTGATTCAAGTTTCATTTCAAAAACATGAATACGTAAAACAGCTTATGGATGAATCACTGTGAGTGAGTGCTGGTGGTCAATCCTTTCAAAAACAGAACTGAAAGGAAGTGGGCCAGTCAAACAAACAGAGCTCAATTAATCAATTTACAGAGGAGACAGAGAAGTACCAAGTGTTGCCAAGCATAGAATGTCCCTTTCTATAGAGGACCTGTCTCAACCTGTTTGTGAATTCTATTCTACATATCTTCTTTTTTTTTTTTTTTTTTTTTTTTTTTTTTAAAAAAACACTTTTTTTTTTTTTTTTTTTTTTTTTTTTTATTTTTTTTTTTTTTTCAGACAATACCATTGTCTCATTTCCACTGTGGTTTAAATTTCTCAGTTTTATTATCGGGCTTAGAAAGAGGAGTGTCCTTTTTTCAAAGCAGCGCTCTCACCCCGTTTGTAATTTTTTTCTTATGCATGTTCTTTTTTTTTTTTTTTTTTTGGTCTTTTAGAGACAGGGTCTTCCTGTAGCCCCAGCTGGACTGGAACTCACTATGTAGACCAGGCTGGCCTTGAACTCACAGAGATCTGACTGCCTCTAACTCCCAAGTGCTGGGATTAAAGGCATGCACCTCCACACCCGGCTACTCTTCCTGTCTTTAGCCTAAGTTTGTACATGGCCAATGCTTATTGACTCACTTTGTCCCTGAATCTATTTCTGCCATTTACCTTGGTGTGTGTGTGTGTATGTGTCTGCTTGCATATATGTTCACCTGCAGGCAGATGCCCATGGAGGCCAGAAAAGGGTGTCAGATCCCCTGGAGCTGGAGTTATAAGCAGTTGTGAGCAGCCTGACATGGGTGCTGGTGCAGGAATGACTCAAATTGGACAGAATCTGGACTTTGAATTAGTCTTGAAAACTCATTGAACAATGTGCTCTCATGACCTGGACACCTAATCTTGATTCCTAATTTGCTACTCTACCCCAAGGTAATGAATGAATGTGGGTATCCTTGAGAATTAACCTATAAAAGCTCTGAAAGGCAGTACTCTCATCTGCACTGAAAACATTGAGAAAAGATGCTTGACACTGTGTATGAGATATTCTAGAACTAGGGCTAAAAAGGCAAAGCTGTCTGATAGAGAAGGGTGGATTCAAGTTTGTAGTTCCCAATTGAATAAAAGTATGGGTGAGGCCTGACTCAGGGACACAGTTCTAGGGCAAAGTTCCAAGAGACATCTGGGGGAATGGGTGTCCTCCAGGATCGGGCTCACTCTTGAAAACTAAAGTTAAGAGTCAGGCTGCTTTATTCAGGTATGCTGGGAACTGAACTCTGGTTCTCTGCAATAGCAGCAAGTGCTCGTAATCACTGAGCTATCTCTCTAGCCCCATGTACCCAGTTTTTAACTCTTTATTCAAAAGACCAAAAACCTATATGTGAAGTGTTGAAATTAAAAAGCTGTTGAAGTGGCTCCTTAAGACCCTACTTCCTGCAGGTGCACCACTCTGCAGACTCACGAACATAAGACTCAGGGTATGTATCGTTGTTTTTGTGTCTGGGTCTATGTATGTACAGGGAGAATTCACTTTGAACCTTATCCAGAATGACAATTGTTTGGTCACCTATAGGAAAATGACAACAGAAAGCTCATTCATTTCTTTATGTGCACCAGAGTCTTATTTGAAAATAAAATCATTAAAAAAACAAACTTAAAAAGCAGAAAGAATGTTCATTAACACTTTCAAAATTCCTTAAAACTTATCCTGAAGAGTCAAAATTCAGATTCTTATTTCATAAAACAATTGCATTATCATCATTAGGTTTCTATATGTTTAAATCTATATAATATAGTATTTTATGTATAGTACATAGTTTCTATGGAATGATACCATGATAAAGAGTAACTGCTATACCTCTGAACACATTCGGAAGATGTAATGTCTTTCCACATCCTACACCACCTATCTTGCTGCTGTTTGCAAAAATACTACAGGAACATACAATGCATTTCATCAATAGCAGAGTTTGAGGGTATGCAAACTAGCCCACGAATACCTGTATCGATAGTAAGAAACCAGCATTCTTTCTCTGACTTCTCCTTCAATCTTTTGGTCGATGACCAGCAGCATAACTCCATATAAGTACAGAGCTTCACACTAGGAAGAAAAAGGACAAAGGCCAAACTCCTAGGTGTGCACATTTGTATGGTGTGAGGCTGACAACATGGTCATATTCCTCCTAAGAGCTGTACTCATGCTTCAAGGTAAATGTAGGTTTTCCTGCAAAGGACTCTCAACAGCTATGCAGAATAGGCATTGAAAATTTACTCAAAATAAATTTTAATTCAAGGTGATTACCTTTCCTTGCTCTATTTTTGATATTTTGCTTGGGATAGCAAAATGGAATCCCAATCCTATGACTATTTGCTCATCAAAAAGGCATTCATACAATTAAAAACATTTCTTCTTTTTTATTTGTTTGTTGTTTGAGGCAGGTCTCATGTATCCTAGCCTGGTCATGAACTCTTAGGTAGCTAAGGATAACCTTGAACTGACCTTCCAAGTGCTGAGATTATAAGTATGTGTCACCACACCTGGCTCTAACAGACATTTCTTAGATGGTCACCATGTATTAGGTACCAAGCTAGATGTCTGGGATGCAAAAAGTAAAGAAGATTGAATTCTTATACAGAGGAAACTTATAACCTGAACATAATCTTTTATTCATTAGCGATTTTAGCAAGTAACGACAATGTTTTAAATTCAAATATGGACCTGCCAGTTAGAAAACAATTATCAGGCTTTTTTTGTTGTTGTTGTTTAAAGAACAGTATTCTGTATATACTGAGGCTATATTTCACATTCCTGAATTTCTTTTTACAGTCATTCTTACTAGAAGTTGCCTTCCATCTTCATTGAGGAGCACCGTTTCTAAGGTTTGCTGAATATAAACACCTTCACTGAGATCATCAAGGTATCTAGAAATGAAATGCCAAGGCAAGTTATTTACATAAATAGAAGATAAAAATTTTTGATAAAAAGATGTTTAAAAGGTAAGGCAGGATACCAGGAATTCTGGCTTCAGGAACTCTGTAGTTATGAATCTCATTAATCTATGAGCTATAACTCATGGTGATTTGGGATCACAGGTTGATACTTCTGATTGTTCCAAAGAATAATCCCTAATGCTGAGTTATGAAATAGAAGCATTGTAGAAGCAACGGCATTGAATGTGGAATAGGAATTAGAGGTCAATGAATAGTAAACTCCTAAGAACTGTTCATATGGTGCTAGAGGCTCATAATCCCAGTTATTCAGGAGTCTGAGGCAGAAGGATTGCAAGTTCAAGGTCTTGTCTCAAAAGAAAAAAAATGTTAATGTATAAGACAAATTTACAAAAATAAGTTACCTTTTTCTATGTCTCATATGTAGGATCACAACTAGAAGGTTGAAAGCCAGATATTAGTATAAAGCAACTTTATTATGATACTTCACAAGAACAGGAAATTATAATGAAGCAAACATACTTAAGAAGGGAAAAAGACAGTGACACATGGCATGAATGAGCTTAACATTAATGCTGGAATAACTCAGAAAGGTCTACATGCCCTACTGGGCCTTCTCCCTCTCCACTGTTTACTGCCAGATAAACTGTTAAAAAAATTTGTCAGGGGGCTGGAGAGATGGCTCAGCAGTTAAGAACACTGGTTGTTCTTGCAGGAGACCTGGGTTCAAATCCCTACACCCACATAGCAGCTAACAACTGTCCATAACTCTAGTCTCAGGGGATCCGACAGCCTCTTCTGACCAATGCGGGCATTGTACGACATGGGTGCAGTTACCTACAGTCAGGCAATACATGCATACACATAAAATAAAAATAATAAATAAAATTTATTTAAAAAATTCGTCAATACCTGTTCAAGTCTACAATGTATTTATGCACACTTTGAAAGGCTAAATAAAATCTGGTCACAATTTCTATGTTGTTTTCTCGAAATTCTTCATCTAAATCCTGTAACTCTGGTTTAGCTTCCAGTTTGCTTTCCCATAACTCTGGACCCTAAAAAGAAAACACATTTGTGCGAAAAGTCAGTAAAGGCGTATTTCTTGGAAACAATTTCTAGATAGTCTTAACATTTTATTATGCTCTTACACATTAAAAATTAAACCAGAGCAATAAACACAATGAAGCCTAGTAATAGTAATAGCAGAGGTGATAACATAATAAAATAAAAGCCTAGATTCAAAATTCCTCTGGGCTGAATCTCATCCAAGAGTAGCATGCTTTAAATATAGGTTACTCCAAGGTAAAATGCATCATTAAAGTGTTTTTTAAATTTGTTTATGTTAGTACTTCCCACAGTACTTCTGTTTTATTCTTGAGTTGAGAGCTGATGTTAAATTTGGTTCAAATGCTTTCCAGTTTAACTCTCCCTCCAGTTTAACTCTTCATACCTATTTGACCTCTTCTAGCTGCATAGTTCCCAGAGAAAACACATTTTTGTAAAAAAAGACAGTAATACAAATGCCATAGAGGGAAAGTACCTTAAAATAGCTGAAGTCAAATATGATATCTCCATATTTCTGCTGGTCAGCTCGGTCTTTTAGCCTGAACACAGCAGGAATAAACTCAGAGAGCCGCAGCACCTCAGCAATGATGGCATTGCCACAGGAAACGATCCTCAGGATAGCCTGGCCACAGAGGTTGTTTTCAGCCAGGAAGTCCAACATCGTGGGACTCCAACCTTGATGGTGGAAATGATTAATGGGCTTCAGAGTTGGGGTCTGTAGAACATGAAGTAAAACCAGGTCTGTGGACCAAATGACTGCTCCATTAAAGAACCTGTATCAAAAAAGAAAAACATTAATCATTTTTAAAGGAAATAAGTATATATGTTTTTGAAAACGTAAGTCACTGAAAAACCACAACAAATAATGAGTTCTGATAGGAAGAAAGGGCATTCATTCTCCATTCTTCAAGGAGAGATGAATGATCATGCTCAGTTCACTCCCTTCCTTCCTTCTTCATTCAGTTTGGTAACCCTGTCTATGGAATGGCTTCATCCACATTCATGGTAGCTATTCCTTCCTCAATTAAACTTCTCTGGAGACATCCCTAAGACAGACCCAGAGGTATGTCTCCTAGGTGATTCCTATTCCAAATCTAATCAAGATAAAAATGAGTATGACCCAGAACACAGGCCTTTGCTAGAATCACAGTCTTGGCCACTTTTTCTGCCCTTTATCTACTTCCCCTAAGGAAAAAAGGCTATAGCTTGTCTCTAAGCCAAAGGGGTGCCAAAATCATGTGTGGCTCTAGTGTGCCCTAACTGCACAAGCTATGCCCCACTATGTGATATTCTAGTAGGTAACTGCAAACACTGTAATAGTTCTCAGAGACACATCTCAACGCATCATTTAAGGCATTTATTCAATAAATCTATAGCTATAAACATGTCTGATATTCCTTTTAAAATTTCAGATGTGGTTTCTAAAATTCTGTGAAGGTAATTTACCAACATTATATCAAATTGGTTTAAAAAAGAATCAGCAAAAAGAGGAAGTGCTCAAGAATGGGCTCAAAATAAGTATCCAGGAGTGGTAGTGCACCCCTTTATTCTCAACACTCCGCATTTAAATGTCTGGCACTGTGCTCAGAATCAACTACTCATTTTTCATTCACTAAGAATGATTTGAACATTTAGCATATTAACTATTGTAATTATGGTTAACAGGTCTTTCTTCTAAGAGTTCTTGAAGGCAAAGATCTATCTTTTTCCCCAACCACTGTGTGTACCTCTTTGCTGGGTTGGAGCTGAAGGTGTTTATGTAGCGAACTTTCTAGTGCACTGGTTCACAAGTCTGGATGCAAAACAGAATCATCTAGAATCTTAGATTCTGCTATGTAGGTAGAGGTAATCCTAAACACCTTATTTTTAAGAAGCTCCCAAATTGATTCTGATGTGAAGCCAGAATTATTAGAGTAGAGGATGGCTGGTTCTGAGGAAAACTGCAACAAATATACAGGAAGTTAGCAATATTATTTTTTGCATGGTAAGTATCAGAAGGAGGCTTATAAGAGGTGGTGTCCGCCACCACTGGCAGGCTTCAGTACTATTGAGGAGAAAGTCCCAGAGAAAAGAGGCAGCAAAAAGAGGAAGTGCTCAAGAGTGGGATCAAAATCAGTAGCCAGGTGTGGTAGTCCACGCCTTTAATCCCTGTACTCAGGAGACAAAGGCAGGCAGAGCTCTGTGATATCAAGGCCAGCCTGGTCTATATATGGAGTTCCACGCTACAAGGAGACCCTGCCTTAACTCTGCCCTCACCGCCCCCCCCCAAAAAAAGATAAACAGGAGCACCCATTCACCCATCAGCAGGAGTCCTTTACTGATCTTCTATTGGGAAGATATTCTGACTATCAACCTTTAGTAGAATGAAGGTTCCTAGGAACTCAGAGTTTGAGAAAGCTATCCAGAGGCTATAAGGAAACATATTTTAGAATATAACACTTAAAACCTTTTCTATGACAAATAATTTGGAAGATAGATTTGAAATGCAGAAGGCAAGGAATGCACAGGGTAATTCACAAAGCATAATCCACATGAGAAAGCACCGTCTGAAAAGATCCTTAGCCGAACAGCAGCAAAGGAATTACAGATTAAGTAATCACCCCAAATCACTGTACTTACACGAGGCTGGCAACGACTCAATGACTCTGTTCTAGGTAAGAGTGGGAGAAGAGCTTTGTGTGAAAAATGTGAATTGTTAAAATTTTTAATAACGTGAGCCAACATTTACTAAATACAAAATACATGCTTTTTGAACTGGTGATCTCATGCTTTGAATTCTATTCCTAGAAATATGAGCACCAGTAATCCAGAGATAGGTACAAGGATATTTCCTGTAGTATCATAAACATGCGGACAAAGCAAATGCTTATCAGGAGGGAAAATGTAATTTAAGCATCCCTTAACAGCTCTCTGCTCCATCTTACTGTGAAGCCCAGGCTGGCCGTGATCTCATAATCTTCCTGTCTCAGCTTCCCTAGCACTGAGATTATAGTGGTATGGATGCCATGCCTGGACATATTGGAGAATTTCTGAGAGCTACTTATTGAATGGAAACTTTAAGATGCAGAAATAAGGCCTGGCATGGTGGTGCCTTTAATCCCAGCATTCAGGAGGCAGAGGCAGGCAGATCTCTGTAAGACTGAGGCCAGCCTGGTCTACATAGCAAGTTGGGGCTACAGGGAGATCCTGCCTCAAAAAGACCAAAAAAAAAAAAAAGTTTTTTTTTTTTTTAAAGAAAAATCAATACATGCCAATAGAGAGAAAAAACACAATGAAAAGTTGGTGGAGGGCAAGCATGAAGAGAACAGAAGCAGCCAAATAACAGGGTCAGGGGTGGGGAAGTGAGAGGGGAGACTTAAGAATGAAATCAACTAATCTACAAGTAGTCATTAGTACATGTGAAATTGATGCACACAGCAAAACCTCAGAGCATCTCATAGCTAGACAGACTGCATCTTCTACATACCTGAATTAGAGACAAGTCAGCAAAACTGCTTCATGACATATCCATTTCCCTTTTTCCTAGCATCCTCCCACAGATAGTGAGGAAATAGTAGTTGTAAAGTGAGATGGCAGAGGTATGGTCCAGGTAAGACAGAAGGAAGGGAAAGGCTTACAATATTAAATATCTCCCTGGACTTGGAGGTTTCAGAAAATCTTAGAAGTAGGCAGTATGTTTTACCAGCCCATTTCTTAGTATGTCCTTCTAGAAGACTTGGGCACCTGCCTGTCGACCCCTCAGTCTCAGTAGGTAGGTGAGCCAAGCCTTCTGCTTAGCATAACTAGCTGCCAACGATGGCTCCCTACAACCCTTGTCATGTGGATGGCAGGGTGGACCATCTTTCTCTATCTTTCACCATGGCTGCCATGCTTATTTCTTCCTCACACTGGAGACTACAAGTTCAAGAGGAAAGTACGAGCAGGGCTGGTTTCTTCTCAGGCCTTTCTCCTTGGCTTTTCCCACACAGTCTTCCCTCTACGTTTCTGTATCTAAATTTTCTCTCTTATAAAGATATCACTCATATTGGATTGGGGCTAACTCCAACGGCCTCATTTTAATTTATTCACCTCTTTAAAAGATACTATCTCCAAATATAGTCACATTCTGAGGCATGGGGGGGGAGCTAGAGCTTCAACATTAGAATTTTGAGGGGATACACCTCAACTCTTAAAAACTGACACCCTATAGGGAATGATGGTGGCCATGCCATTAATCTCAGTACTTGGGAAGCAGAGACTTTTGAGGCCAGCCTGGTCTACATAGCAAGTTCCAGACCAGCCAAGGCTACATGGTGAGACTCTGCCTTATCACACATAACTTGGGAGCAGTGACCACACCATTCCAAGAGGAGCCTTGAGAAGGCCTGACACCACCTGCTTGGTTCTTGGTGCTTCCATGTGGGATGCCTGGCTATCCTGCTGGGATTATAAAAGTGGAGAGGCTGAGTCCTGACATGAGATGGAAGAGAATCAAGGAAAGGAGTGACAGTGAAAATGAAGGTGTCACCACAAAACCCAGGTTAAACTGGAGGTGTTCCAGTTATCCCCAGCACTTTAGAGCATCCTACTGGAGGTGCTGGACATGCCAGTGAAGTGGCCATATCTGAAATTCCTGAACCACAGAATCTTAATAAAAAATGGTGATTGTTTTGAGTAACAAGAAGTGTTGAGGTCGTTTGTTATGGAGCCAAGATGCAGTACTGTAAAAGAGTGTAAGTTATCAACTTAAATGCATACGTTATAAATATTATGTCATACTTCATCTTCAAAAATGCGCCACAGTCGTTTTTTACTTTTGCACAGTAATGGCAAGGCACCTATTTCTATACTCTGCTGCTGCATTTCCTCCCATCCCCATCTTGTCGGCTGTCTGCTTCCATAGGTTGTTGAGGTTATGGCATTTATCTTACATTTGGGAAAAGATAATTGCGCCAGAAAAACCAAAAGAACACATGTAATTTTTCATATGCCAAGTATAGGAGGTTCTTTGATAGAGGCCTGTTCATACCAGAGCAATGAACAGAGTGACTAAGGCAAGGAAAAGAATTTCCTAAGAAGCAATGAAAAGGGGCCGGAGAGACGGCTCAGTGGTTAAGAGTGCTGTCTGCTCTTGCAAAGGACCCGGGTTTGATTCCCAGCACCCACATGGTGGCTACAAACCGTCCTTAACTCCAGAATTTCTTCAGAGAATTAAAGTGTTCCGGACAAAGCACTGCTGACCCAACTCAGAGGACAAAAAGATGGGACTATTATCTTTTCACAAAACCTCAGTTCCAAAAGAAAGTAAGTACTGGCTCCACAAATCCATTATGATGAACAAAACATATAATGGTTGTGGGCAGGGTAACTATTAATAGCGTATATTTTCCAGAAAAGTGTGGAATAAGAGCATCATTCTAGTCTGCTTCATGACTCTGGGGAAAAACAGGTGAAGAACACCTAAAGAGGTGTCCCTGGTTCTGGATGAAGGCAATAAAACTCCCTCCATCCCCATAATCTATATAGAAATTAGGAGACCAAATTACATCTCTGGGCAGCTATTTTCCTTTCCCTGTGCAATCACAGAAGAATCAAGACTCAGAGGACTTTTTCTTTTTTTTTAAATGCAAAGGACTTTGGCACAAGTGACTGGAATTACCGTGCAGAGTAGAGCTACTTGCCCAAACTCACAGCTCATATCAGAACATGTATTCAAACCCCCTCTCGTGTAAAGGCCCTCAGCGACCACTCACTCGGGTTTTAAGTGGAAGATCAATCAGATTAGCAGGGCACCGCGGCCCGGAAGCGTGGAAATCTCCACTAAAGCGCCAAAGGAGTGTGCAAAAATGATTTCCACCAGGCCGGAGGTGAGAGGGGCTGCAGTTCCAGCCCAGCAGGCTTGGAGTCCTGCGCCCAGTGGTTCACCCGGACACCAGGCGAGGAAGGGCCGAAGGGCCGCGGACCCACCTGTCAGCCGGCAGCGCAAACTCGGGATCCCCTCCCCCGCCGCAGGGGTACCTCAGTGTCGCCGGAGGTAGGTTTCAAGCTGGCAGGACCCCGGCTTCCGCCCCGGCGGCTCCAGCCCGTCACATGACCTAGGGGTGGGAAGGAGAGCGCAGTAGGGCCGGGAGTCGGGGGGGTGGTGTGCATGTGATTGTTGGCGGGCGCGGGCTGATGACGCAGAGCGCGCGGGTCGTTTCAGTGCCTGGAGAAGAAAGCTGAGAAAAGGAGTTGGGAGTCAGGCCTGCGACGTGCAGCTGGATGTAGCTTTCCTAGGTCTGGCTTCCCGGTAAGACGGAAGCGAGCACCGCGATGGCGAGGGCGGGCTGTGTGCCCTCCCCCTCAGGATGGTGGGCCGCGTCGCCCCCCTCTCCCCCCTCCAGATGGCAGGCCGTGTCGCCTCCTTCTGCCCCTCAGGGACCCTGGGCTGGAGCTATGGATCTTTTCACCCACAGCAGTGACAGCGCACACGTTACCCTCTAGCTCCTGCCGCCACTCCATCCTTCGTCCCTGAAGGCAGGTGGAAAAAGATCAGGAATTTATGACAAAAATATGGTTTGAACTGGTTTTACAAGCAGAACCTTGAACTGGTTCAGATGCGCGCAGGGGGCCGTTTCGCTTCAGCGAAGGTCGATGTGCAGAGTAGCGCCTGGGCACACCGATGGTGGAATTGGTGGTGGTTTTTGACCACCAATTGGTAACTTGGCGAATCCTCCCTGACCACTTAGTCGTGTGAGATGTTTTACTAGAATATGCCTGTGTTCCCGTTCAGGGAGGTCCCAGAATGAAAGATTTGAGCAGATAGCTGTGATAAGTTTTTTAAATAGAAATACGTGTTAGGAATAGTGAGAGTATGAAGAAGGGAAGGAACCATGTGTGAGGGAAGGGTTCCGAGAGAAGGACGTGTGCAGCCTGACATGCTGAAAAAGGAGACAGCCCTATTGAAGTTGTATAAGACTACTTTGGATTTAAAGGCCAATAGCCTAACTAAAGTGTTTGTTCTGTGGCTGCTATCATGCTGTACAGAAACAGGTAGAGCAGTGTTTTATATTTTACAGGAATGTGGCTCAGATGACGTCAAATCTTCCAGGATTATCAGGGGAGGCAAAATAGTGTGTTGAGCCTTCTGAGCAAAATAGCCCACACAGTAAGACCTTAGGAAATCTATAACTTTGATATAAATTGTCTCGGAGACTACAGGCCCTGGAAACAAAGATCAGTGTTATTGGGAGAAAGATCAAGAAGAGGTCCATTGAAACCAGTGTTTCTCAAACAATGCAGTATTGACATTTTTGGGCCAGATGATTCTTTGTAGTGAGGGTCTGTTAGCTTTCTGGGGTGTTTAGCATACCCGTGGCTTTTACTCCATGGATGCTCTGTGGATACAATCCCTCCCTCCCAGTGTCAACAACCAGAAATGTTTCTAGATGATATTTAAATGTCCCTTGGGGAGGACTGCCCCCCAAAAGCCCCAATTTAAACCCAGACCCAAGGGATGTTGTTAGAGTGTTTAGACATCTACAAACCAAATACTGTAACCTAGTAGCTTATAAACATCACAAAGTAGCTTCTTTACATTTTGGAGACTGAGAATTCCAAAATGAAGACACCTTCAAACTCAGGGTCTGATGGAGACCTGTTTTCTGGTTTGTGGCTGGTATGTACATGCTGTGTCCTCATGGTGTGGAAGGGCAAGACAGCTCACCGGAGCATCCTTTATAAGAGAACTAATTCCATTCAAGAGCATGGATTCCATTCAAGAGCATGCATTACCAATTTTCACCTCCCCCAAGGCCTTACCTTGTAATACCAACACTTTGGATTTTAGGATTTCAACATATAAATTGGGGATGAGGACCCAGATACTCAGACTTTAGCAGATAGATGAAGTTAGGACAGATAGTGAAATGAAGAAAGTACAGTGGAAGGAGGATGAACAGTTGTGAATTGGGGCTTTAGACAGTATATATGAAAGAGATCGAAGGATGAGAGATAAGGGCCTGACTGAGGCTAGAGGAGGGAGTGGGAGCAGAAATACTGTTCCCTGATAGAGAGATTAGGATGGCAGGAGTGGCCTTGATGAGAGCAGGTCCAGTTAAGTGGGAGAGCAGAAGTATGGTAGGTACTCAGGAGAAGAGTCAAGAAAAGAGGATTTTGAGACAAATGGAAGCAAGCCTACAGGAGGTTTTGGCTGTCAGAATGAACACAGAAGCAGGGGCAGTAAGCAGGAGGGGTGACTGGAGAATGCTTTCCTTTAAGGTGAAAGAGCAGTCCGTTCCTTTGCTGTGGGGGATGGTGCACGGGAGGTGAAAATTGGTAATGCAGGAAATCAAGAGAGTTACTTGGAGATGGAAGGAAGGAGATCTAATAGAAAGTGGGGTGGTCTTCAGAGCAGGTACAGTTCACACAACAAGGGAAGGTGGGGTCTGAGGCTGGTAGTTGGGGAGGGAAGCTTCTGCTTCCTCAGTGAAATGAGGAAATGGGGCCTTTAGTTCTGGGTACAAATGAAAGAGGAGGTGTCAGCAGCTTGTATCAACTGGAGTCATCAAAGAGGACAAGCCAGGTATGCTGGGTCACACCTGTAATTTCAGCAGAAGAAAATCAAAGTGCCCATTTTCAGTAATCGGTAAAAATCCAAGTTATATGCCCTTAGCAACTATTTGTTCTGTGGGTTCCTGACAGCCTTTTCCTCAGCCAGCATGCCCTTTCTCATTAGCTCTCTATCAGTGAAATGTCTTCCTTACCCTTTAAGATCAGTCAGTGATCTAAGAAGTCAAAACATTTCCTCATCTGTCCCATCATTTTGCAGGTACTCAGTGTTGTATTTAAATATCTGACCCCTTCTTAACTTTTGAACCCTTAGGGAGCAGAGGCTGAATATTTCTAGTCCTTCAGACACTGCCTGGTGCATGTTAGGTTTTCATTGAATTGGAATAAACCAAGTGATACATGAAAATAAAAGTCTTGAGAGTGCTCACCTTGAAAAACCACTGTATTCTCATGCCCAGAGAAGTGCCGGGTATTTAAGAAAACAATTGAATGTTTGTTACCTGAGTTACTTGAATTGGGACTGTATTCTCATGCCCCGGGAAGTGCCCAGTATTTAAGAAGACAATTGAATGTTTGTTAACTGAGTTACTTGCATTGGCAGTGAGTTGTATTCTAAATGTTTATGTTAAACTGACACTTCAAAAATAAAAATCAGCATCTTAGGCACCTCTATGCCCTCCCCTTTTCTGCCCTGTGTTTTTTAGTGAGTCTAAGGATTGACATGGGAAGGCCTCAGTACTTGCTTGTGGAATAAATGAATGACCCTAATTCATAAAGCAATAGTTGAGAAACTACAGTAGCAGTCCAGATGTAAAATAAATAAAGCTGGGGATTATGAGAGGAGAAAGTGTTAGAGATACTGCACAGCTCCCAGCTCTAGAAAGGAAGAACGAGAGCAAGTCCTGTTAACAAATTCCAGATAGGGTGCTAGATCACACCATGGGTGCTGCTGATTCCTCTTCATAGAGGGTCAGAAGGACTTGCCAGTTAGCCTGTGGTCCCAAAGAAATAAAGCTGCACAGTCCAGTTCTTTAGATGGCTTTTATTCCAAGAAAACATGTTTTTATTTTATTTTGTTATTTTTTTCTTCCTGCTACACAGCTTAAAATGACAGCCTTCTTGTCATTTTAAGCCTATGTGAACTCTGTACTTTTCCAGTTGCTTTCAATGGACTGAATTTCAGGAGGTTCCTGAATTAAGCAAAGATGTATATGCAAGGTGTCTAAAGCTTTAAGGATCTGGTGTTTGAAGATATTAACTGCAATATACTGGATAAGCCACTAGAAGATAAGAAATCTATACAGAAATTCTGCTTTCACTGAATCTTGGATAATACCAGGTTTATGAACCTATTAGAACTCATAGGAGTTTTTTGGTTTTCAAAATTCAAAATGCATATATACCAAATAAAGGTGATAGGTTTTTGAAAAATCTCATCATAAGCATTAGTTATTTTCTTTTTTTTAAGGGAAATGAGTCATGTTTCTAGTCTCTGTGTGTGTTAGGCTTCTAAGAACTGGACTGTCGTCAAATTTCTTCAGAAAATCAAGGAAGAGAGTATTTTTCCTCTTAAAAAAAAATACTCACCTTCCCTATACTATATTGAATGCATGTTTGGTGGCCCAGATGATGGCACACTGCTCTGGTCCTCTTGGGGTGCTGCATACAGTTAGTGTGGCACATGGATGTTACAATCAAAGCATGTTTACAGCTGTGCTATTTTTCTATGCAGTTATTATTCTAACATAAAATTCTTACTATTGTATTTGAAATTTTAGGTAATAATCTCAAGATGCCAGGGCGTTCCAGTACAAATTCAGGCTCAACTCATTTTATATCCTTCAGTGGAGTAGAATCTGCTCTCTCTTCCTTAAAAAGCTTCCAGTCCTGTATCAGCTCTGGAATGGACACTGTTTCTAGTGTTGCTTTGGATCTTGTGGAGACTCAGAGTAAGTAATACTTAAAACTCTGTGTGTATGTCTACTTTGAGGTAAGACAGTGTGGTATGGTAGTGTTACTCCACGGATACTTTTGAGGTTTTTTTTTTTTTTTTTTTTTTTTTTTTTGAGACAAGGTCTTCTTGTAGCCCCACCTGGCCTAGAACTTAGTATGTAGACCAGGCTGGCCTCAATCTCGCATAGATTCATCTGCCTCTGTGTTCTGGGTGTTGGGATTAAAGGCATTTACCACCATACCTGGCACCTTTTGAGTATTCTTGAGACAGTCATTAATTCCTCTGGGCATGTATTTTCTCATCTTACTCTGTAACATCTCATAGCAATATACTGAAGGTAAAATGAGATTGTCTCATTCCTGGGTGTTAATCCGGTTTGTTCTAGTAAGAACTGCCACCCCACCCCCCAAAGGCATGTTTTTGGTTCTCTGTCCATGGACACATAAGAATTGGAGGCAAAAAAGTGTTGATTTGGCTATGTCTGGGGCCAGCTTGCTCCACACAGACCCAAGGTCAACCATCCCACATAGAAAAAAAATTTGCCCTAGAAATTTATGAGCAAAGATATCAAGGTTTCTGACCTCAAGGAACATGCAGTCTAAAGTATCTGTCATATATGACTGGAAGGTCTATAGATGGTGCTGTGAAAATGTTATTTTCCATTAGTTCAACTGGAGTTTGTTCATGTTTGATCATTCAGTAGAGAGACCCAGCAGATGCTAGGGATACCGCTGTTCTAGTTTGATTCTTCATTGCTGTGACAAAATACTCTGACCAATACCAACTTGGGGAGAAAAGGGTTTATTTGGCTTACATTCCCAGGTCACAGCTCATCAGGGAGCCCAAGGTAGGAACTCAGGGCAGGAACCTGGGGGCAGGAGCTGAAGCATAGGCCATGGAGGAATGCTGCTTCCTGGCGGCTTGCTCCCCTGGCCCCTGCTCAGCCTGCTTTCTTATACAATGTAGGCCTACCTGCCCAGAGATGGCACCACCCACAGTGGCCTGGGCCCTCCCACATTACTCAATAATCAACAAGATGCCCCACAGACATGGCCACAGGCCAGTCCAATGGATGCAATTCCCCAATTGCAGCTCCAACAACCCAAGTGTGTCAAGTTGACACTAAAGCTACCCAAGCACAGCCAGTAAAGGAAGGCCTCTACAAAAATGAGAGTTCAGCTTTGACAAATTCTTTTTTTTTTTCCCATGCAGAAAATTTAGAACAATGTTACCTGCCTTTTTAATTAGAGTTGTTTTTATTTTATATTATATACAGAGCCAGGGGAGTAGTATAATATCTCTCTCTCTCTGTCTCTCTCTCTGTCTCTCTGTCTCTCTCTCTGTCTCTCTCTCTCTCTCCCCTGTCTTTTTGAGACAGGGTCTCTGTTCTAGTTTGCTTTCATATTGCTATGATGAAAATACTGATCAAAACCAACCTGGGGAGGAAAGGATTTATCTGACTTGCAAGCACAGTCCATCATCAAGGGCAAGAACTCAGGGCAGGAACCTGGAGGCAAGAGCTAAAGCATAAGCCATGGAGGAACGCTGTTTGCTGGCCTGCCCAAGCTCATCCTGCTTTCTTATACAATACAGCGCAACCTGCCCAGGGGTGACTTACCACACTAGTATGCTTAGGTACCTACTACTGCTGTAATTTATGCTAAGGCACCAGCAGTATTTTCCCATAATGCTTTTGTATTGTCAGAGAACCATTTTTATACAAAATGGTCTTCTTGACTTTTGCACTCCCACCAACAGTGGATAAGGGTGGTCCCCCCCATCCTCACCAGCATTTGTCATGTAATTTGTTTTCTTGATTGCTGTTCTGACTGGGGTGAGATAAAAACTCAGAGTAATTTTAATTTGCATTTCCCAATGGCTAACGAAGTGAACATTTTAAAAAAAAGGGTTTATTAGCTATTTGTATTTCTTTTGAGAACTCTCTGTTCAGTTCTATAGCCCATTTTTTATTGGGTTGTGTTTTCTGATTTTCAGTTTTTTGCATTCCTTGTGTATTCTCTGTTAGCCACATAGCTAGCAAAGATTTTCTCCCATTCTGTAGGCAGCCTTTTTACTTGATTGACAGTTTCCTTTGCTGTAAAGAAACTTTTAAGTTTATGAGGTCCCATTTGTTGATTGTTGATCTTATTTCCTGAGCTATTGGAGTCCTGTTCAGAAAATCCCTACTTATACCTGTATCTTTTTTAAATAAAAATATTTTATCTGTTATTCTTATTTTATGTGTATGAGTGTTTTGCATGCCTGTATGTAAGTGCACTCATGTGTGCAGTGCCCTGCAGAGACCAGAAGAGGGTGTTGGATCCCCTAGGTCTGGAGTTGTGGGCTGTTGTTAGCTGCCATGTGGATGCTAAGAATTGAACCAGGGTCCTTTGGAAGAACAGCAAGCATTCTTAACTGATGAGCCATCTTTCTAGTCCCCTATGTCTGTGTCTTGATGTACACTCCACACTTTTCCCTCTGACAGCATCACAGTTTCAGGCCTTATGTTGAGGTCCTTATGTTGAGGTCCTCTAGTTTCATTCTTTTACATGTAAATACCTAGTTTTCCCATACCATTTGTTGAATATGTTCTTTTCTCCAATGTTTATTTTTGGTGCCTTTGTCAAAAATCAGTTGGCTATAGTTTTATGGCCTTGTATTTAGGGCCTCTGTTCTAGTCCATTGATCTCTGTGTCTGTTTTTGTGCCAGTACCATACTGTCTTTATTACTATGGCTGTGTAGTATAATTGTTTTTAATTAAAAAATATTTTATTGAACTTTTGTACATTTCATAGAACAGTTCTTAATCAAATTTAGAGCCCACCTCCTCCATCCATGTCCCCATATAACCCCTCCCCACCAGACCACATGAATTCTGTCATTCCACCATACATGTTAAGTTCTATTCAGCCAAGTGTTGGCACCCAGATGTCTGTTAGTGCAAGTTCATCACTGGAATCTAGTCAGTCTATCTAGAGATATTTTTTTCCTTTTATTTATTTATTTATTTATTTATTTATTTTTATTTATTTTTTTATGGTGCTTTTGGCTACTCTTAACATTCCCCCCTCTGAAGATGTAACCCTAAAATCTTTTAAGGATTAGATAAAAGCTCCCAAATATTTTTGACATTTTTTGAGCTTTGGAGCGAAGTATGTTGCTAAGAGGCCCAAGACATTGTGAGTTTTAGCCAAGAAACTGGCTACTTCTCTTTGGGGTCTTTTTACCCTAACTGCCTAGCCAATTCCTGCCTCCTATTCTTACCACACCATCCTCTGAAGAGGTTACCCAAATTGCCAATAGGGAATCAGGATGCAGACCACTCTGACGTCTTCTATGCTGAACAGGGACGCAGGGTAAGGCAATTGGAGTGACCCCTTCAAGGGGTCTATCTAAAAGACTCCCAAATTGTATAACTCTTATCTCTAGGGGGAAAAGAAAGTCCTTGAATCGTGAATGGGAGATGTGAAGGAGAATAAAGGCAAGAGTAATTAACAAGTTCTAGAGAGGGAACTAGAAAAAAGTCAGAATTTTCAGATGTTCATATGAGAGTCCATTGTTTTGACAAGGGCTTCTAAAAGCATCGCTCTATTGGGTTCCTCCTCATTTTTCTTTTGTCTTCCAAAGCTTGACTCTATAGAGTGATAGATTCAGGATTTGCTTTCAGGCATTTTGATAGCTGTTGGAGTGGTTAGAATCAGTGTCAGTTCCCTCTCAAAGGCTTCTCATTAGGGGGAGAAAACAAATTTATTCATCATTTTAGAACAACAGCTGGTTGTCTCCCTTAGCTACAGGTGGGCACTACAGTATTGGAGACCAAGATTTGAATTTATTTTTTACTTTTTTTTTTAATTTTATGTGTATGTATACATGTATTGCCTACATATAGGTAAGTGCACCTGTGTCGTGCAATGCCCGTGGAGATCAGAAGAGGCTGTTGGATCCCCTGGGACTGGAGTTACAGACAGTTGTTAGCTGCCATGTGGGTGCTGGGATTCGAACCTGGGTCTTCTACAAGAACAATCAGTGTTCTTAACTGCTGAGCCATCTCTCCAGCCCCAGAGACTAAGATTTGAAGTCTTACATCTGAGCAGCACTTTCTGGTTAGGAACAAAATCATCAATGAGAAATAATTGTCTGACTTTTTATATGGACTTTGCCTAATGTCTGGGAAGTGTAATCCCTTGAACTCTTAAAGAAATATACTGATGACTTTACTCTTTGGTCATACTTTCCTTTTGGGTGTTTAAGACCATACAGTTGGCCCAAATAAATCAATTTATTTTTACACTTAAGGTCATTTGAGGGTCTGTTCCTCAGGGATCACATGGGTTTGGGAGGAGCTCCTGGTTCCTTTCTTTTACCAGTTCCATCTATGCGAAGATAAGTCAAAGGTCCTGCTCGACCATGTCTGGCTTCACTTGGAAGCATGAATGAAATATTTCCTCTGAGTTGACCCTCCTCTTTGTAGACTAGATACTGGTTCAAATCCATCTCATGGGGTCTCCAAGTCCTCCCCGAACAAGAGGACGAGTGACTCACCACAGTTACCGGACATTTTGAGAGATGTTCCATAGTCCCTGGAACTTAGTAGACCTTGGAGAGCAAGGGGCAAAAACTGTCCTTTAAGTCCCTCTGACCACATTAGTATATGCCTCAAACTATGGCTGTTGAATATCCAATAAGGTTATTTCTACCAGTCTGGTACTTTCAATTACCATGTGCTAAATAGATAAAGTTTGGGTAAAAAACCAAATATTCTCAGGTAAACCTTGACTAGAAACATATTTTGTTTCTTAAACTAGTTGACTAAACTATGACCATAGGAATTTTAAGATGTGTATATTATTTTTGTCTCATCCTTTATATATCATAACAAACCTACACAGACCTTCATCACTTGCTTAGGCTTTCTCATTTTTTCTGTTTTGGAAAATATCTCCATTCCCATATCCTTTTTAACATCTTTTACATTCTCATTTTCTTTTTTTAAAAATAATTATGAGACATAATAGCATTAACAAATACATTTTCCATCTGTTGTGAGACTTCTTTTCCTGGGGATGCTAAGCAATGCTTATTCCCTTTTAAGGTTCTAGTGTCGAGCCAATGTTTGATTAAAGTTTTACTGGGGAACCAATGAACTTATTGAGCTTACTTACCAAGATAACTGAGGGGTTGCTGAGGTCTATGTATGACCTGAGGGTATGCAAAACTCAGTTCTTTAATCTTCATGCTTTCCAAGACCATTTTTCCATTATAGATTCTTTAGTTAATTGGGTCAAGAGACCTTCTGGTAAGAAACAAATTTTTGCAAGAGAGATTGAAGTGTATTAATAAAGAATCATGAGCAAAGTTTGCACAATGCTTTTGATTCAGAATACGATGCAATGCGAACCAGCCAAGGAGGCTGAAGGAGGGTCATGATGTCAGCCTGGGCTACATACTAAGATGACGCTGCCTCAAAAGAAAGTGTAAACCATCCAGTTTAGGCATGCAAAAATACTTGCTAGAATAAAATTTATATTC